TTAAATAAATAAATAAAACGTTTTATTACATTTGATATTTGTTTGGTAATATTCATCAACAAAATTGATAAATTTTCAGCTTTATATAATTTTTGAATTTTTTGAATTTTTTAATTTTTTTTTTTTTTAATTTTTTTTTTTATTTAAATTAAAATCACTATTTTTTTTCTTATTTTAATAAAAATATATTAAATATGGATGGAGATGAGGAGTATAGTGATTATGAGATTGAAGATGATGATAGAGAACAAGATATAAATAGTAAGTATTTAGTTTATTAAATTTGTATATAAGGATGATTATTTTACTAATTTTTTTAAAAATTTTATATATAGATGCATTCACAGAGCAGGATAGGAATCAATTATACTTTGATGAAAATGAAGATGATGAAAATGAAAAATGGGTAACCAAAAATTACAAATCATCAGGTAAAAAAAGTGATGCATATCTAAGTTGTCCATGTTGCTTTACATTATTATGTGTAGAGTGTCAAAGACATTCAACTTATAAAAATCAATATAGAGCTATTTCAGTAAACAATTGTATAGTAGATAAAGGTCAAAATATAATTTACAATGATAAAAGAGATAATAAAATAAAACAAACAAGTAAAAATAATAAAAACAATAAAAATAATAATTATAGAAAAAAAAAAAGGAATCAAGGTATAAGAAATAAATTGGAGAATACACATTTGGATGAAAAAGAAGAAAAGGAAGGAACAGATATTTATGAAAATACAGATGACACCGATTCCGATGACTCTGATGATTCTGAAGAAATTAATAATAATAACAATAACAATAACAATAATACTAACAATGATGATTCAAGTTCCGATGAAGATGAGGACGAGGTATACCAACCTGTAAAATGTTCAGTTTGCGAGACCCACGTCGCAATGTTTGATAAAGACGAAGTTTATCATTTTTTTAATGTTTTTCCTTCATAATAAAAAATAATAAAGTAATAATAAAATACTTTTGTACATAATTTTCTTTTTTTTAAAAATAACACAAAATAAATAGTTATTTTATATATTATTCTAAATAATGGGTTTACATTATTTTATTATTTATTATTTATTTGTTTTATTTTTTATTTTTTTATTATTTTTTTTTGATTTAAAACTACAAAAATTTATTTATATTATAATTTAAATTGAAAAGAATTTTACACCTAAATTGCCTTCGTCGTCAGAAGAAAATGTTTGAGCTTTTGATTGTTTCTCTAAAACTTTTAAAGATTTTAATAGTATAGTTGTATTTAATTGATGGAAATCTTGTTTTTTTGAGTCATCACCATTTTGAATTTCCCATATTGTTAAAACTGTATTTAAAAATCCACAATCTGAAACCCATTTATAAATTAATGAAGCCCATTCTTCTGGTTTTCTCCACATTATTAAAACTCTATTTTTTTCTTTATCAATCCATTCTGCATATCCGTTTTCTATAATATCATCAAAAATAATTTTTAATGAATCTCTTGATAGTTTTCCTTTATTTGAAATTAAAAATTTATTAACATATAAAACTAAATGAAAAAAAAAAAAAAAAAAGTATTATAATAGTTACTATTGATTTTTTCGTTATTAAATAAATTTAAATTTGTCTTAATAGATTCATTAAGATCTAGTTCGTATATTTTATTTGATCTACTGTATGCTAAAATAAGATCTTGCCACATTTGCAATTGAATTTTTCTTGTATTGATTATTGGCTGTATAGTGAAGAACGGCTCTTTATTATAGTACAGTGGAAACTGAAAACTTTCAGAGCTATTCATTCTTGGTTTATTAATTTGTTTTAAAAATAATCTTAAATCTGTAAAGTAGTAAAAAATAATAAAAAATAAAATAAAGTAAAATTAAAAAAAAAAATTAAAAAAAAAATTAAAAAAAAAAAAAAAATAAAATAAAAAATTTAATTAAATTTTTTTTTTTTATAAAATCATAATTGTTCACAATAGCAATTATGATAAATAATTTTATGAATAATAGTAATAGTAATAGTAATAGTAGTAATAATAGTAGTAATAATATTAATATAATAATGACTTACCATATTTATAAATAGTAGTAGATCTGAAGCGTGGGCTTTGGTCTGATTATTGTTTCCTACAATTTTTCAAAAATCATACTTTCATTGAATTCAATCTAATTTGGTTTAAATAATTTATATTTCAAACTAAAAAATAAATAAATAAAATCAATTTAATTAATAAATAATCTTTTTTTATAAATTGAAAGAGTAATTTTGATAAATAAATGTTTAAAATAACAATAGTTAAATAAAAGTAATAATTTAACTAATAATAATTAATTTTTCGTTGGGTATGTATTTTTTATAAACAAAATATATTCTTAGAAAATAAGAATTGCTTTTTTTCATTAAAATAAAATACCAATATAAATATTTATGGAATATAACAATACATATATAGTGGATTTTCCATCTTTAAACCATAATTGGATTCAAAAATAAATTATATCTAATAAATAAATAAATAAATAAATAAATATATAAAAGATAACAGTTTCATTATTTCTTATAAAATAAAATAAAAAAAAATTATTAGGCATCAATGAAATTTAACTGTTATAAAATAATATTTTGGTGTTTGTTGGTAAAATCTTTGAGTGTGCTAGATTTGTGTTTGTGTGTGTGTGTGTGTGTGTGTGGTGCTCGTGTTTCAAAAAAAAATAAATAATAATAATAAATATTTATTTTAAAGTGTGTTTTTTAATTTAAATCCACCCCATTTAATTGAATCACAAAAAATAAATAAATTAATTGCAAAAAAAAATAATTAAATAAAATAATTTTGGAGTCGCTATTTTGAAGTTATTTGTTTCTTTTTTTGTGTTTTTTTTAAACATTTATACAGATAAATAGTGTGTGTGTCTATCCTTTTTTTCTTTTTTTTTATTTTTATTTTTTTTATTTTTTTTATTTTTTTTTAACCTAACAAATAATATTTTTTTTAAAATAATAATAGTTTAAATATTAATATTTATCATTTTTTAAATAATAAATAATTTAATAAATAAAAATTGTAGCACTAGTAGTTTTATTATAAAAAAAAAACAAAAAAAAAAAAAACAAAATAATTTTAATAATATCACATATCATATTATATAATTATACAATAGTTAATTTACAACCATATTGCTAGCAGTGGTAGCTTATAAATTAATAAAAAATTATTGTAGAAATTAAGTCTATAAGTGTTACAGACTTTTAAAGGAAATACCATAGAGGAAACAGCAATATATTGTCGTTTTATCTCTGTTATCATTTTTTTTGTTTTGGTTTATTTTGGTTTGGTTTTATTTTGGTATAGTTGTAAAAAAGATATTTATTGTAGTACTAGTAGTAATCTATTTATCTATAATTTATTTATTAAATTATTTTCTATTTTTATATTTACAATTTTTGATTGGGGGATATTTTCATTTAACAAAAACATTAAAAATAACAACAGCAACAACAACAACAATAGCATTAACAATAGCAATAATAATAGTAATAAAAATAATAATATAAAATTTTGTAATGAAAAAAAAAATTATAAATTTAATAAATAATGTATCATTTTTTTGTTCTTTATTTCTTTCGTTTTTTATATTTATACAAATAATCCTATTAAGAATTTTATTAAAAAATATTGTTAAAAGTATAATTCAATACTGCAATAGTAATATTATTTTAATAGTAATAATAAAGATTATAAATATAATTTTTATAAGGAATAAAAATGATCCATAAAAATATAGTAAAAAAACTTTTAATAACTTTAATTTTATTATTACCACTTTTCATCGATAATGCAAATGCTGGTAATCTTTTATTTCCCCCCACTGGTATGTAAATAAAAATAGTAAAATTATATTTGTGTTTATATTTAATAATAATGAAAAAAAAAAAAAAGTTAAATGTATATTGTATAATTATTAATTAATAAAATATATAAAAAGCCACCAAACCAACACCTAAACCAACAATAACACCCAAACCAATAGCAACACCTAAACCAACAGGAACACCTAAACCAACACCTAAGCCAGCAGGAACACCTAAACCAACACCTAAACCAGCAGGAACACCAAAACCAACAGGAACACCCAAACCAACAGGAACACCCAAACCAGCAGGACCAGGTTCCTATGGTTCAGAAATTAATGGCCATAGACCAAATTGGATTGAAAGAGCAAATCATTTTTTAGTAAATGCTCTTAGATTAGATCCACAAGGTTATAAAAAAAACTATTTTAAAGGTGGAGAAAAATTACCAAATGTATTAAAGGAAAATGGTATTTATAAACCACAAGAGCCATTATACTATAGATTAGATTTAGATAAAGCAGCTTTGGCTCATACCGAAGATATGGCATCAACTCCATGCTTTAGTCACAATAATTGCGATGGTTCACCGGTCGAAAAGCGTATTAGATCATTCCTCAAGGGTTGTGGCCCAAATCAAAAGTATAGCTCCATTGCAGAGAATATTGTAAAGGCCCATTCCGATCCACTGGAAACCAACAACTTTTGGATTTGCGAAACTCTTCCAATAGGCAGTGGTTGTGTAGCAGATGGTAACAACGATGGTCACAGAGCAAATCTGTTAAGCAAAGATTTAAAATCCATTGGCATTTCTTCGGTTGTAAGCAAAAAAGATGGTTATACTTATTGGACCCAAGATTTTGATTCAGAGGTTTGTCCAGCTGGTTTATCATCACCCATCCATTCAGGCAGTCACATAATCTATTCAAATAAATGTATATATGGTGCCACATTTTATGACAATGCTTTGGATAATCAAAACAATCAAGTTAAAGGAACCATATATATAAATAAAAAGCCAATCGCTTTAGAGTTACAGTATGGAAAAGAAGCAAAAGGTGTTTATGTTCACACTGCAACCAAATATGCCAAAACCGACAAATATTATTTCCAATTTGATGTTACCAATACAAAAACAAAATCATCAAGTTCATTTAGATATCCAGAAAAGGGTTCATTGGTAACCTTGGTCGATTTTAACGACAATAGCCCATCATGGGTTAAAGATTAAACCTTTTATATTTTAGGAAAAAAAAAAAGAAGAAAACAAATAAATAAATAGTATAATTTATAAAATATTTAATGTTTTTATTTTTATTTGTTTTAAAATCAGTTTTTTATTTTTATTGTATTTGGTTTAAAAATTATATATAGGGGTTAACAAATTATATTTTTATGTAATAGTGAATCTTCTCCATCTAGATCAATTAGTTTACCATTGATTAAAAGTATACTAACATTTTTAGGAATATGTTTTTTTTCAAGTTTTTCAAATACTTCTTTGGGGCATAAGAATTGAAGGTCATCTATTGATTTGGGGAGGTACATTAAGGTTTCTATATCCTCTTCATTGAGGGAGCCCCATGCAAAAAAGTTTACTTTATCGGGTATGGTTCCTTCTTTAATTGGTCCATTACATAATGGCATGAGTAGATTAAATACTTGGGATGGAATATTCTTTGGGATTAAAGGTTCTTTAAGAGTTCCATAATACTTTAGTGTTTCTATTTTTGAACACAAACCTTTGATTTGATTTCTTTTTGTTCCTACTGAAAGATATTTGATTTTATTTGGCCAGACAGGTATATCATGTTCAAAGTGGTTACCTAATGTTAATGACTCTACACCTCTTGGGAAGTTATCACGGGTCAAGATTTGGTTAAATATACTCTTACCATCTGTACCAAAATCTACAATTTTAACAGTTTGGGGTATTGCTCCATCTGGGATGATTCCATTAAAATCATTACCGAATATTAAATGTACTGTACCTTCTGGTATGGTATCTACTTTTAATTCCTGATCACCATTAAAAAAAAATGTTTTATCTGCATTTTCAATTCCTTTTTTCTTTTGGGTTGCCTCTACCCATAATCTATGATCTCTTGATAATATTTGTAAACAATTTTTTTTTTCTTTTTGATACTAAATAACAAAAGATTTTTTGAATTAGAATTTATAATATATATATATGTATAATGATAAAAAACATACAGTAATAAAGGGGTGGCTGTTTAAAAAATTTGAATCAAATCTTATATATGGGTCATATATAAAACACTTTTTAATAAAGTTTCTGCATAGCTTGTGTGCATTCTCTGGTATATCCGGTATTAAATCTTTATCCCTTATGCCCTCAGCTTCATCTGGATGAATTGGTTTAAGCTTACCACCCAGCAACAATATGACCAAACATCCGAATTGCCAAACATCAGATTTTCTTGACCCAGCTTTTCTACCAAATGTTTCTGGTGAAAACAAACCAGGTGTGCCAACTAAAGAATAGTTTTTTGATCCTTCCTCTTTTCCACTAAAATAAAATGATAAACCAAAGTCTAATAATTTCCATTTCTTTTCATTTTCATCGTAGATAATATTCGATGGACTTAGATCCCTATGAATGACCTCTTTTGAATGAATATAATTTAATAATTGCAATAGCTCTGTTGTAATACTTCCTATTGTTTCATTTGATAATGGATGGTTCCTTTCTATGTACTCTTGCAAAGTAGAGCCCTCTATATATTGGATGAAAAGACATGTATAATCACCATCTTTTTGAACACCATATAGTTTTACTATTTTACTTGAATCTGTTAAAACATCATTTAAAATAATACCCTCCTTTGTTGATTCTACCTATTAAAATTTTTAAAGATATTAGAAACTATACAACTAACATTTGTTTCTACTATAATAATTACCTTTTTTAAGATACATTTTTTAAAACTATTACCATTTATTAAAATATTGTTTTTATTTTCTACAATAAAAACATTTTCTCTAAGAGCTTTTAGGATTTCCCAATTTTCTGAAACAAAACTTTCCATGATTAAACTTTTATATAATAACTATAATCAATTATGTGATGGCTATTTATATCTTTTCTCTCCATACTATTTTCTGTAAAATTTTAATTTAAATTTAAATTAAATTTAATTAAATTATATAAATTTAAATTACTTATGTTTTTTAAAAAACTTAATCTATTGAATTCCTTATCTGTATTTAAATAAATATAGCACACACAAACAAACCCTAAACACCTAAACACACAAACACACAATCACACAAACACACAAATAAAAACTCAATTTATTTTTTTTTATTTATTTTTTATTTTATTTTATTTATTTTTTTTTATTGTATTTTTTTTTTTTTTTAAAAATAGATTTTCAACCAATTATTATTTCCTACATACAAATAAACAATTATATATTTTATAAATAAACTAATAAAAATTCTATAATTATTAAAAATGATTGAAAACTCATCTTTTTGTATGCATATAAAAGAAGAATGGAATATTATAAAAGAAAATTATAATAAGGGTGCCTTTGGAAAAATTATAAGAGCAGTAAAAAAAAACGGTATTATAAATGGGTATGCTGTGGGTGACAAAAATGTGGCTATAAAAAAAATAAAAATAAATGTAAATATAAATATTAAAAAATAAATATTTTCAAAAACTAATTTTAATTTTTATTAAATAGGAAAGGAATTTTGAAACTGAAATATTAAATAAAATTCAAATTGAAAATGATAAAAAAGAAAAAAGAATGAAAACAATATTAAAATATTATGGATATGGTATAGATGAAGAATATATCTATATATATTTAGAATTTTCAAAGGCAGATCAATCAGTGATCTAATAAAAAATGATCAATATAGATTCAATGAACCACAAATAATTAAAATTATAAATAAAGTTTTAAAATTTTTAATTTTTTTAAAAGAATGTAATATTGTTCATATGGACATAAATTCAAATAATATAATGCTAGATATTAAAAACAATGGTAAATTAGTCATAAAAGTTATAGATTTCGGGTTATCAAGAGAAATTGGAGATCCAACTAAAAAAATAATAGGAACCCACATCCCACCGATTATTTTTAAAGTTTTATTTAAAAAAAATTTCAAGTGTAACCCCTCTATTGATTTGTGGTGCGTTGGATGTTTTGCAATGGAGTTGCTTGGCCTACCTATTCTACCGGAACAACTATACACTAACCATAGGGAATCTATAAAAGATATAGATTCAAATATTTTAAAAAACTTTATTTCAAAATGCCTAATTAGTATAAAAAATGGATATAAAATAGAATTTTTAAAACAGCATCCTTTCCTTTTTGTAAGTAAAAATATTATTTTATTTTAGTTTATTTTAAATTATTTATTAATTTTATCTTATTTTATTTTATTTATTTAGAAATATAATAAAAAAATAGATTTCAAGACTGTAGTTAACAGATACTTCCAATTACTAAAGAATTTACCAATTGAGAGATACAGCCCAATCGAGGTTACAGATATGGATAGGTTGCAGTCGGGAATAATTGAAAATGCAATCGGAATTAAATATATTGGTGATAACTTTAACTTTAAACCATCACATAATTTCAAAAAATTAAAACTTTTATCTATCCAGGGTAACAATACTGCCAATGATGAGCTTTTTTACCAATACCTGTATAATAAATTAAAAATATTTATATACAATGGCATATTTAAAGATGCTATAATGATAAATGGGTTAAATAATATGAATAAATTAAAATGTGTAATATTAAATCAATATGACAAACCCATAGAGTCTTGTACCATACCTAGCAATGTGTCGTTTCTTCAACTTGGCTACTACTCCGATATAATTTCCATAGAATCATTTCAATACTTACCAGAATTATTAGAAGAGTTTGCATTTGATTGTGATGAAAAAATAATACCAACTATAAAAAAAGAATTTTTTCCCCAAGATATATCATTTTTATATATTAATAATAAATTATATGAATTTGGAAATAATAACCATTTAAATGAAACAATGGCTTTTTCCTAAACTTAAAAAATTTTAAAAAAAAAATAAAAAATTAATTTAATTTAAAAAAAAAAAAATTTTGATTTTTTTATTTTTTATCAATTTTTTTTTAATTAACAAAAATAATAATAGCCATAATAATATTAATAAAAGTAATATGAATATGAATAATAATAATAATAATAATAATAATAATAATAATAATAATAATAATAATAATAATAATAAAAGAGAATTAAATGCTTCACAAAAAAACCAAACACTTAGCTATGAACAAAATGAATGTAAAGTTAGTATTTGTTTTCTAATCATATACAATATATATGTATATATTAATTATTTTTTTTAAGAATCATCAAGAAAAAGGAATAAAAAAAATAGCCTTTTTTTATGGCGAAGAAAATAATTATCAAAAAAAAAACTGTGAAGAATTTTCAAAAATATTAAAGGAAAAATGCAATTTCAAGTGCCACCAATATTGGAATAACGATACTCCCTTTTCTTCATTTACACATTTTCTAGAAAATCATATAACTATGGATGATTCAAAAATAATGCTTATAGTGTATATTTGTAGTAAAGTAAAAAGAAATGATTCTGAAAAAAAAATCTTTTTGGTACCAAATTATCATTACTCCGAGGATAGCCCCGAGACCATTGAAGCCGAAGATCCAATACAAGATTTTATTAAAGAATTAGAAAATAAAGAAAAACTAATGAGTAAATATAGATCAAAGAAACAACCCTTTTATTTTGTTACTAACAATACTCTTTTTATACAGAAAATCATCTATTAAAAAAGGGTACAATTCTTGTTTTTAATGCACTATTCATTCTTGATTTAGATACATGCTCCAAAACTACAAATAGTATTTCCGATATTTACTATGCTAATGATGAATTTCTTAAGACCAATATGAAAAGTAAGTATTTATTAAAACTCTTTTATATCGAAATATATCAAATTGATTTATTTTTTTTTAAAATAAAGGTTGTGGTTTTCTTTATTTACCTTTTACTGGGAAACATCTTCAAAACAAAGATGAAGATTTGACATCGTTTACAAAAACTTTAATCGAACGAATAGAATCAAATCATGAAAAAGGTGGAGAGAATCTTACCTCACTCACAGATAAAATGAAACATTTTCTTTTTCATGATTTTATTGATAACTACCTAGATGAACAGGCAATAGAAGATTTGAAAATTAAATTTAAAATTAAAGTAGAAGATGGTTTCAGGTTGAACTTGGAAAATAATTTTAGAATATTACAGGGTCCAATAGGGATATCCTCCTTTCATTTTATTCAAAAAAACCTTGACATTGAAATTAATTATAATAATAATAATAATAATAATAATAATAATAATAATAATAATTATAATAACAATAATAATAATAATAATAATAACAATAATAATATGAATATGAATAATAATATAAATAACAACATTAATATTACCAACTATATTGAAGAATATAATGAAGTTATATACGACGGTAAAAAAATATCAAATTTAGAAATATCATTAAATGATAACTATATTGAAACTTTTAATAATAATAATAATAGTAATAATAAACAAAGTGCCAATATTTTGGAGAAAAGAGAAGAAGAAAGTGAAGAATTTGCTATTGTTGAAAAAGATTTCTTATAAACCAAAACCCTCGCTACACTTTAAAGTTATGTTGAATTTTCTAAGGGAATATAAAAATATAAATATAAATAAAAAATTTTAATTTTAATCCGAATTATAATGTAAACCAACTGTTTATATAATGACATAGCTGACTACGAACAAAGTAATAAAGATTTTTTAAAAAAAAAAAATTATAATTAAAATGGGTTAAATTTTTTTGGTAAAAGTGTGGAAAAAATAATAATGGGATTTTAAATTAAAAAAAATAAAATAAAATAAAATTGAAAATAAAAATAAAAATAAAAAGTAATATCAAATAATAATTCATCAATAAATTTATTTCTTTTAATAATAACATTACAAGTATCAATCAAAAAAAAAAAAAAAAAAAAAAAAAATTTTTTTTTCTTTTTTTAAATTTTTTTTTTTTTCAAAAAAACGGGGGAAAAATTCCTTTTTTTTTTTTTTTTTTTTTTTTTTTTTTTTTTTTTTTATTAATAAAAAATTAAAGTAATTATCCCAATCTAAATTAATTATTGTTATAAATATATATTTATATAAAAATATGATGATGGATTATTTTCCTTTTAAATTTTTTTATTTTTTTTATTTATTTTTTATTCTCTTTTCTTTTTCCTTTGTTTTTTTCTTTGAATATGAAAAAAAATTAAAAAAAAAAAATAATTATTTTAAATTAAAAAAAAACTTAATTTCTTTATTTGTCAAAATGTCTTAAAAAAATAAAAATAAAAAAAAATAAAAAAAAATAAAAATCTATTTTTTTTCAGATAGCCCACTCCGTTGTAATTTTTTTTTGTTTTATTTTTTGTTTTTTTTTATTTTTAAATATTTAACATGATTTTCATTCAAATATATAAATAAAAACGTCATATTCAAAAAAAAATAAATAAATAAAACTATTTTTAAACGACAACAATTAAAAATAACAATTATTATAATAATTATTATTATAATTTTTTTTTATTTTTATTTTTATTTTTTAATTTTAAATCAAATTCAATAAAACACAGCAACAAAACACTCAAACAATTTTTATTTTTTTTATTTTTTATATAATCAAATTTTTATGCAAACGAAAAATTATAAATAGAATTCTATAAAAAAACAAAAGGTAAATGTTTATGTAAAAATCTTTTTATTTTTTTTTTTTTTATTTTTTTTTTTTTTATTTTAATTGTGTTATTTATAAATAAAAAAAAAAAAAATAAAAAAAAAAAAATAAAAAAAAATAAAAAAATAAAATATCTCTTACAAAAAAAAAACTTAGTTACTACACATCCCCATTTTCACCACATCACTTTTTTCCCATTATTCACACACATTGTTCCATAAATTGTGTGTTTCATATAAAAACTAATAATATTTTTTAAAAAAAAAAATTAAAAAAACATTACCCCAACCGCACTAACACTTCGCTTTGGGATAAAAAAAAATTGTGAAACAATTATTACAATTATATGGAAACTCCATACAAACATCATGTCAAAAAAAAAAAAAAAGAACACGTCGCTAATGTCATTAGAACATTTTATTTTATTTTTTTTATTTTTTTTTTATTTTTTTATTTTTTTTTTTTTTTTAAAATAATTTTTTAATAAACAAAAGATTTTTTTTTAATCATTTATGTTTAATATTTTTTCTTTGTTAAATACAAATAATAATTTGTAAGTAGCGGTATTAAAAAAAAAAAAAAAATTATTAAGGAAAAAAAAAGAATTATTATAAATTGCAGATGGAAAAAAAAATTTCATTATCATAAAAATTTTATTGTTTTATTATTTTTAAAATTGTGTTTTCATTCAATTTTTTTTTTTAAAATTATTATAAAAATGAAAAAAAAAAAAATATTATACTAACATTCTTTTTTTTTTTTTATAATTACTTTATAATTCACCAAAGGGAAAAATAATAATAATTAAAAATAACAATAAATAGTTAAACAAAAAAACATATAAAACCCAATAATATACACAAAACTTCAAAATTTTTTTAACCTTTTTTAAATAATAAAAAGTTATGAATTACAACAGTTCCTCAAATAGTTTAGATAAACAAGATATTTCAGATAACACCAACAATATTAACACTAATAATAATAATAGTAATAATAACAATAACAATAACGATTCTTTAAATCATAGTCATAGAAATAAAAGCACTAATAGTTTAACACACTCTGGTGCTCATATTCCTAAACAAACATCATTCCAAGATTTTAATCAAGCCCACTATAATGGTATTAACCCATTCTCAGACACAAATTCATATAATAATGGAGCAAGTGGAAGCGGCGGCAATCCACTTTCAAAAAGTGGAAACTCACTTAGAAAAAGTAGATCCGATCTCCATCAAGAAATTGAATTGGGCTCCTCTCATTCCAACTTAAAGAAGAGTAGATCAATGGAAAGTGTTGATGTTATCACTGAGCCACAAATCCCGCTCTACTACTCTATGGTTAAAGAAAAAGAGAGACAAAGAGAGGTAAAACTTAGAAAGAGAATCAAAAACAAATTTAAAAGAAATAAAAATCAAACTACTGCTACAACCTCAATTCCAGATGCCACTTCTGTTGAAATTGAACCAACTTCTGCTGAAGATTTAGAAAAGAAAAAAAAACAAAAAGATTTAGCGACTCAAACTTCTGATGAATTAACTGTAAGTAAAAATATTAAAAAACAGCAACAATCATATTTTTTTTTCCTCTTCACCATTACACACTTTAATTTTTTTTTTGTATTGTGTTTATCACCCCATTTTTTTTTATAAAACACCTCGTTATTTGTTTTATTTTTTATAATTTTTTTTTTTTTTTTTTTTTTTTTTTTTTTTTTTTTTCCAATTCACCCTCCAAAAAAAGGGGGAAAGGACATTTGGCCCCCCCCTCCCACTTTTTTAATTTTTTTATTTTTTTTTTGTGTTGCCTCACAATTGTATAAATCTTTGCACAATAATCACAATCACCCCACCTAATATACTGGCACACCGCATTGTACGAAAAAAAAAAAAAAAATTAAAAAAAAAAAAAAAATCACCTCAAAAAAAAATGTTGCCGTTTCAAAAAAAAAAAAAAAAAAAAAAAAAATTCTAATAATAATTTTTTTATAATAATATCTTTTATTTTAAATTATTTTAAACAGCATGATCATCAAATTCCACTTGAAGAATTAGAGGTTAAATTAAAAACAAGTATCAATTTTAATGATCCAAAACACAGTCAAGGTTTAACAAGACAATTTGCAGCCGAAAGATTAGAGACTGATGGTAAAAATGCATTAACACCACAAAAACCGGTACCAAAATGGATAAAGTATTTGAAAGAATTTTTAGGTCTTTTCCCATTGATGCTTGAGGTTGGTGGTATCTTATCAATTATTGCATATGCTATTGATACAAGTAAAGGTGAAGATAATGTAAGTATACAATATTGATATTTTCGCACTAAAATTTAAAAAACTAATTAATATAAAATTTTTTTTTTTTAATTTAAAAAATATAGTTATATTTAGGTATTATTTTATGGATTGTTGTATTTTTAACATGTACTTTTTCATATATTCAAAATTCAAAATCATCTGGTGTTATGGAAGGTTTTAAGAAATTAGCACCATCATCAACAAAAGTTTTAAGAGACGGTAATTTAATTGAAATCGACTCAGAAGATCTTGTAGTTGGTGATATTGTTATTGTTAGAGCTGGTGATAAAGTACCAGCAGATTTAAGAGTTGTACTCTCACATCATTTCAAAGTAGATAATTCATCATTGACTGGTGAAACCGAACCACAAACTCGTAGCGTTACATGTACAGATGAAAATCCATTGGAAACTCAAAATCTTGTTTTCTATGGTACTCTTGCATGTCAAGGTGATTGTGTTGGTGTCGTTATTGCAACTGGTGATAGAACTGTTATTGGTAAAATCGCTACATTAGCCTCAAAATCAAAAGCTCAATCAACTCCAATGAAGGACGAAATTGAAAACTTTATCAAGATTATCTCTTTAGTTGCTTTTGGTTTAGGTGCTGTTTTCCTTGCAATTGGTTTTGGTAGAAAGGTCGAATGGATTCTTGTTATTATTTATACTATTGGTATTGTCGTCAGTCAAGTACCAGAGGCTTTGCTCCCAACACTCACTGTTACTCTCAATCTTACTGCTAAAAGAATGGCTAAAAAGAATGTATTGGTAAAGAATCTTTTAACTGTAGAAACTTTAGGTTCAACTACTACAATTGCTTCAGATAAAACTGGTACTCTCACTCAAAATATTATGACTGTAGTTCATCTTTGGTATGATAACAGCATTTACAGTTGCAACTCTTTAACTTCCAGTAATTGTTTCAATAGCCAATCACCAACTTTCCAAAAACTTTATCAAGTTGCTGCTCTTTGTAATAGAACTGTTTTCGATAAATCTGAAGATCAAGAAGATATTCCAATTCAACACAGAAAGACTATTGGTGATGCTTCAGAAAGTGCTTTACTCAAATTTACTCATCAAGTTCAAAACGTCGAAGAATATCGTAATCAATATCCAAAATACTTTGAAATTCCATTTAACTCTGTAAACAAATGGCAAATGAGCGTTCATACCGAAGGTGATGATGGTAATTTCTTTTTAGTTATGAAGGGTGCACCAGAACGTATTATCAACATGTGTGATCGTATACTCATCGAAGGTCAAGAGCAAACATTAGACGAAAAATATTTAACAAGTTTCCAAACCTCATACGAACATTTAGCAGGTAAAGGTGAAAGAGCTCTTGGTTTAGCATTCCTTCCATTAGACCCAGATCAATATCCAAAAGATTATATTTTTGATGCTGAGGAAAAGAATTTCCCAACTTCCAAACTCATTTTTGTAGGTTTAACAGCATTAATGGATCCTCCACGTCCAGGTGTACCAGAAGCTATCAAAACATGTAAAGAAGCCGGTATTAGAGTTATGATGGTAACTGGTGATCATCCTTTAACTGCAACTTCAATCGCTAAACAAGTTGGTATTATCGAAACTGACGAAACACTTAATGATATTGCAAAGAGAGAAGGTATCGAAGTTTTAGACATGGATTTCTCACGTGGCTCATCAATTGTAATTCCAGGTTCTCAATTAGATGATTTAACTCATGAACATTGGGATAAAATTCTTTCACTCCGTCAAATTGTATTTGCTCGTACATCACCAGAACAAAAACTTATTATTGTAGAGAAATGTCAAAAGAGAGGTGATATTGTAGCTGTAACTGGTGATGGTGTAAACGATTCACCAGCACTTAAAAAATCAGATTTAGGTTGTGCTATGGGTATCACTGGTAGTGATGTTGCTAAAGAAGCCGCCTCTGTCGTTTTATTAGATGATAACTTTGCCTCAATTGTTAATGGTGTCGAAGAAGGTAGAATTATTTTCGATAAATTAAAGAAATCCATTGCTTATACTCTTTCATCCAATATTCCAGAAGCCATTCCATTCTTTTGTTTCTTTGTCCTTCAAATGCCAGTTGCTCTTTCAGGTATCTTAATTCTTTGTATTGATTTAGGTACTGATCTTATCCCAGTAATTTCTTATGCCTATGAAGAAAGTGAAACCGATCTTATGAAACGTAAACCAAGAAATGTTAAAAAAGATAAATTAGTATCTCTTAGATTAGCTATTTTCTCTTATTTATGGTTAGGTATTATTCAATGTAGTGCTGGTCTCTTAAATTACTTCATCCTTTTCAAAGACTATGGTTACTCTGCATCCGAGTTATTTAATGTTTCATCAACTTATTTCATCGAAAAAGCTGAAGATTATGGTGGTCATGACTGGAGAAAACAATTAGTAATCCTCAATGAAGCTCAAACTGCATATTTTGTTGCTATTGTAATCACTCGTATTGGTGCTGCTCTCTCATGTAAAACTCGTATTGTTTCAATTTTCCAACAGGGTTTTGGTAATATGGTTTTCAATTTTGGTATTTTTTCAATGTTAGCAGTTGCTCTTTTCATTGTTCACGTCCCAGGTGTAAGAGTATTCTTTGGTTGCACTATCATTCCATACAAGTTTTGGTTGATCCCAATCCCATTTGCAGTATTTTTAGTTTGCGCAAATGAATTAAGATTATATTTATTAAGAACTTATCCAAAATCCAAGTTTGCAAAATATGCTTGTTGGTAATCAATAAAAAAAAAATGAAAAGAAAATAAAATATTTATTAATTAAAAAAAAATATGCTACTGTACATAAAATAATATAAATAATAATAAAATAATAAATATAAACAATATAGTATATAATATATAATTATATAATATAATAATAACTAAAATCAAATTAAATAATATTATTATTCATTGTATGTAATAATATATAATATAAATAAAATACTAAAACAACTATATAGTTGTTTTGATTTTTGCTAAAATTTCTTTTAAAATTTTTATTTTATAATTTCTTTACAAGTTATTATATAATTAAATATAAAGAGGTGTGGACTAATACTTATATCCAAATTTATGTGGGTTGGTGATGGTTATTTTAATCTATTTATCATTTGTTGTTTTTTTTTTTGAGTTTTTTTTTTTTTCTAAATATTAAAAACGTGCTAATCCATTAAAAAGATCTATTTTAACAACATCCTCCTTTTTCTTTTTCTGATTTTTGGTCTACTTTTACACTATTACCTATACTATTATTATTATTATGATTTGGAAGGTTGGTACCATTATTGGTTTTTTTACAAAAATTTTCGGCTATGGTTTGGAATAATAAAGATACATTCTCGCCAGTTCTTGATGAGGTTTCGAAAATATGGGCATTATATCTCTTTGCTGTTTCTTCAACCCTTATATTTGGAATTGCTCTTTGTTCACCATGTTGAATTAGATCTAATTTTGTACCAACAATATAAATTTCGATATCTGGTTCGTTTTGGGTTAGCTCCTCTGCCCAAAAAGTAACTTTTTCCCAAGTTTCGCTATTAGTTAAATCTTTTTTTGTTAAACAAATAATTAGATTTTATTAATATTAACATTTATTTTATTACTGCATATTTTTATTATTAAATAGTTACCATAGCAAACAATAGCAGCATTCGCTCTACGATAATATGATCTATTTACAGCTTGATATCTTTCAGTACCTGCAGTATCCCAAATACCTAATAAAACTTCAGTATCACCAACAACTGCTCTTTTGCTCGAAAAAGCTCCTCCTATGGTCTAGATAATAATAAAATAAGTTAGGAAAAACTTTAAGTTTCTATATATATATTTGTTTATTTTGAGTACATACTGTATGTGTATCACCAAATTGATTATACATTTCTCTATAGACTATACATGTTTTACCGACAGATGCATAACCTTGTTAAAATAAAAAATAATTGTTAGTAGTTAAATAAGGGTTTTCGACTAAATAAATAAAAATAGCATACCTAAAAGTACTACCTTGAGATCAATTTTATTTTTTGTCATTTTTATTATATATGTATTTTTTATGTTATTGTAATTTAAATATTTTTATTTAATATCTTAATTTTGTTTTGTTTTTTTTTTTTGCTTATTTATCAGTTTGATATTATCTAATATTTCTATAAATTTAATATATTATTATTTGTTTTTTATTTTATTTATTATTTCTATATGTACAGTTTAGTTATTGTTGTATTGTTATTTTTTGTTTCTATTGATATTATTTTGCTATAAACTAAATAAAGGAGAAAGAGTTAATAAACACAAGGGATAGTTATTTTTTAAAAATATTTTTTTTTTTTTTTTTTTTTTTTTAAAAAATTTTAAAATTTTTTTTTAAAATTAAAAAAAAATTTAAAATAAATAAAATTAATTTTATTACCCTTTAATTTTTCTTTAATACTTAATTTAAATTATTAATATATCTATATTTATTTTTATTTGATTTTTTTTCAAAGTTTGCCCACCTTGCTATTTACATGCTATGAAAAAATAAAAAAAAAAAATAAAAAAGATATGAAAAAATAATAAAAAAATATATTAAACTTATTAATTCAAAAAAAAAAATTAAAAAAAAAAAAAAATTTATTTTTTAAATAACAAAAATATCTGATTTACAAAGTTTTAAAAGCAACAAAACCCACACAATTATTAAATTGAATTATTGTATCTTAAAGTAATTAGTAAAAAATCTAAATGGGGTTTTTCATTTAAAATAAACAAAATGTGGTTGTTTTTTTTATTTTTTATTTTTTATTTTTTTGGTGTAAACCATTGCTTTTAAAATATTTTGTTGTAAATAATAATAAATAAATAATAAATAAATAATAAATAAAGAAAATTAAAATATAAATATCTTTTTTAAAATCACATCCAAATTAACACATTCACACATTTTTTATTTTTTTAATGAACATCATAATTTTTCATTGCCAAAAGAAACAAAACTAACAAATAAAAAAAAAAAAAAAAAGAGAAATGAGTATACGTCGCACCATGATTACACAATGAAAAAATAAAAAAAAAAAAAAATTAATTAAAAAAAATTAAAAAAAAAAAAATTTTCAATTAAAAAAAATAATTTATTATTATTTTTTATTCAATTTTATTATTATTCACACACACTTAACAACAACACATTAATTAATTTTATAATAATATTTTTTATTAATAATATACAAATTTTTTATTGCACATAAAAATTTAAATTCACAATAATAATAATACTTTTTTTTTTTTATTTTATTTTTTTTTATTTTTAATATAACAACAATAATAATTATAAAATAATTAAAATAATTAAAAAAATTAAAAGATTAACTATTATTTATAAAATAAAAAAATACCATTATTATTATTAATATATATAAATATTTTATGTAAAACCATTAATAAAAAAGAAAAAAAATAATAAACAAATAAAAGAATTTAAGATATATATACTAGTTTTATTTAATTTAAAAATATGGGGGAATATATTTATAATATTCAAGAAAAGATTGAAAGTCCAAATAGTTCAATTTTGAAGGAAAGAGAAAAGGTGATGAAAAATTTCATTGGATTGGGGCCACCGGATTTATGTATATTAACTAAATCATACGAACCACCACGTTTTGTTCCGGGACTAAAATCAAATAAATTATCATCTTATCATTGGGCATTGGGTATTAATACAGAATCAACATCAGCTGCAGCAGTATATTTGGGTAGTTCAATTTTAGATAATCAAGAGAAATCATCATTTGGTAGAGGTGTTTATAAAATTGATTTGTGCCATCTAATATCATACAACGCATTTTTAAAGATGGATTTACATTTAGAATTAGCAGGTACATCAAATCATACCTCACCCCCAATATGCTATTCTATAAATCCTTCTGGTGAAAAGAACGCATTGGAGGATTTGTTTTGGAAAGAGACCTATATCAGCTCAATGCTTCGTTACATTCAAGGTCCACCACATTTCTTAAGACCAGTTAAAGTTATTTCAACATGTTTAAAGAATCAAAATGATGAACAAGAGTTTTTGAAGCTTTGTCAAGAGCATTTCTGGCATGGTAGAAAATTGGGTGGCTATGATAGAGAGCTTTATGTAGATCTAAAGACTCATGCAAACCCCGATGGAATGGAGATTGATGATAGTAATAATCTACTGGTCACTACATTATCGGACTATTTCATCTCAAGGAATCGTCATTTGCCAATGTTAAACTTTTTTGAAGATCTTTACAAAACAGAACCAAGCGTTTCTGTTCCAATGGCAATTGCTCAAAGAAATCAAGGTAATATCGAGGAGTCTCAACGTTTGCTCGAAGCAGCTTTAGAAAAAGCACCAGAATCATGCTCAATTTTAATCGAATTGGCTTCAACCCTTTTAGCAAAAAATCATAAAGATTTATTATCTCAATTACCTGGTATCCAATCACCAACCAATACCAATACAATTACTACTGGTACACCTCCAACTGCTGTAGTATCTATTCAATCACCACAGTTACCACAGCAACCAAATCAAACTTTATTAGCAGCATTGCAATATGTCCTAAAGGCCCTCTCTTTAAGACCATCTTTAGTTGGTGCTTGGGAGGTTGCTGCCTCAGTTTTGGTTCAAATGGGTTATGTCGAGTGGGCCATAGTATTCCTTAGTAATGCACCATATGTTAATGTAGACAGTGTCACCGATAGAATTGGTAAAGGTAGATATAGCAAGGTAACACCAGCACCAGAAAATCCAAATATCCTCCAAGTTCTAGAGGATGAGGAGATCGAATTTGATGAAGAGCCAGGCGAGGAAGTCTTAAAATGCCTCTCTTCAACATCTTTAAGTGGTGATAGCGAAAGATACTTTAAGATACTTATTGGACTCTTTAAAAAGATGGGTTGGATTCAATTAGCAGAGAAAAAGAATAAAACCATTGATGAATTGGCAGCTGCTTTAAGAAATAAACATAAAAAAGAAAATGGTGGTCATAGCCCAGTCCAAAATGCCAGTAGCAGTGGTGTAGCAGGTGGTGATGCAACTCATAAAAAATCTTTTACCAAGGATGGTCATAACACAATATCACCAACATCTAAACCACAAGCCACCGAAAACCTCACAGATAATACAGAGACTGATAATAGTACAACTGAACCTCCACCACCACCAATTTCACAGGAACCAAACGTACCAAAAGAAGTTTTATGGAGAGATGAAGATGTTACATCTGATGGCAGTGATATAGCTGAAGATTTAGAAAAAGTTGATTTAGAAGAGGGTGAAGGCAGCAGTACTACTACTATAGAAGATCATCAAAAACAAGCAGTTGAACAACAACAGCAACCAGAGGAACCAGCAAAACCAAAAATTATTAGATTACCATTTGATGAAAAATCTTTAACTCTCGAAAATATCTCTGAAATTCTCTCAAGCTTTATAGATAATTATGGTTCAGAATCAACAACACCAAAAGAATCTAAAGAGTATCTTACATTCGATATTGAACCAAACTTTATGAAGGTTAAACTCCCATTATCTTATATAAATAGAAATTTAGAATTTGCATTCCATGCCCTCTTTCAAGATATCAAAGCTTTCCAATCATGGAAAGAAGAAGAGGAGCAAAAGAAAATTGGTGAAAATATTCAAATTTCATTAAAGCATATTAATCCAAACCGTACAATTTCTGATTGGACTCGTTTAGGTCGTTTAGCTTATAGACTTGGTGAATTGGGTGATGCTGAAAAAATTTTCTTAAAATTGGTTTCAGAAGATAAGCTACACCCATTAGCCATCACAGGTTTAATTAAAATTTTCACTGACCATGGTGATATTAGAAACTGTTTAATTTCTTCATCACAATTATCAAGATACTATTCAATGAAATATAAAACTTTGGAGGTAAGATAACAATTCATTATGCAATTTTTAATATAAATAACTAATCGAATATTTATTTTTTTTAGATGAATCCAATTATTGAAAAATCAATATTAAATTTAATTGCAATTTATGGTCTCCAAAAGGTTAGAAATATTTATGCAACTCTTCAAGATAATAATAATAGTATTTCAAGTTTATTCTTTGATTCTGTTCAATGGAGATCCCATGGATCAATGAATTAATTTTAAAATTATTAATTAGTTTTTCTTATAATAATAATCTTTTATAATCATACCCTCCTCTCTTTGTATAATCATTTTCAAATATAATTTAAATATAAACAAAAAAATTAATAAATTATATATTCTAATTTTTTTTTTTAGTATAAAGTTTTTTTTATTATTTATTTTATTTAAATTAAAATTATTTATTATTTATATTTAGTAAATTTATAGTTTTGTTTATAAAATTATTGAAGATGGTTTTTGATGTAAATTGATAAGAAAACAAATGGAATAATTGGAAGAGCATATCTAACTAAATTGAAAACACCATTTTCTCTTTCTAATTCGACCTTTTTAAGGATAGAGTGTGCACCATCACAGAATGGCTTGTCTTTTGAATAACCACATCTACAAACATAAACAGTATCATTACCTTGGTTAACTTTTAATGGGGTTTCTTTGGTTCCGTGTTGTTCATTGTAGGCTTTGTGTGAACCGTCGCAATATGGATAATTTTTTGATTGACCACATCTACAGATCCTTTAATTTGTTAAAATTGAATATTATTAATTATAAAACTCTTTTTTTTTTTTTTTATCTTGATTATTTCGAAATTGTTTATTTTTCCACCAATACATACCATTTATCTTCATCTTTTGGATTGACAGCTAATGGACCGTCAAGAGAGAAGTTTTCTTGATTGACATTCCATTGTTTCTTTGGAATTTCTTTTTGTTCACCATCGACAAGATTACGAATAAAATCCATTTTTTATTTTTTAATTATACAAATATATTAACTGAAGTGACTGAAAATAAAAAATTTCAAAAAAAAATTTGAAAAAAATTTAAAAAAAAATTTAAAAAATAAAAAAAAAAGAAATAAATTTGAAAGGGTGTTCAAATTAAAAATATATCATAGTTTTCTATTTATAAAAAAAAAAAAATAAAAAAAGTATTTTGAAACTTACAAGTCATAATAATATTTATTAGACTGTACTGTACAATATTTTAAATTTATTATTTTATATTTTAATTTTAATATATCATCTAAAGTTTTGATTTTGTCTTTGTTGTGGTGGGATTGAACCCCAATGTTGTTGTGGTGGAAAAGGTGATGGTTGGTTGAAATTTGGTGGTTGGCTAAATTGTGGTGGTAAAGGTGGTTGTTGAGTTGAAAAAGATGGGGGTGGGGGTGGCATTAAACCACCAGCGGTAAGAGGTGGGGGTATGGCTCCGCTTTGATTAAAACCACCAGCACTTCTACTTGCGGCAATAATTCTTTCAGCTTTAGAACCATGTTTTTCATTTGAGTCTTTCTTTCTTGCATAGCTAACAGATATTGGTTTATTACAAAGGAACTGGCCATTTAATGATTCAATAGCAGCATCAGATGCATCAAAGCTATCGAAACTAATAAAACCAAATCCTTTGCTCTGTCCATTTTCGTCTCTCATAATCTTTGGTGTAAATAAAATTGTACCAAATCTTGAAAATGTATCAAATAGAATTCTTTCATCAACATCTGTATCTAAATTACCAATAAATAAATTTGCACCAATATCAATTTTATCTGTACTTTCCTGTTAATAAAATAATAAAGTTAGAATATTGATACTAGTGATTAGTATAGTGAAATGAATAATAGTTACCTTTTTAATTTTAATTTCTTTATTAAATAAACGAACAAACTTCATAACTTTTAGGGCATATTCAGCATCTGCAGAGCTTTGAAATTCGACATATGCTCTACCTGTATGTTGTTGAGTTAGTTTATCTTTTGGAATGAAAACTTTAACTACTGGTGCTGCTTGTATGAATAGTTCCATTAATAATGATTCCGTTACCATTGGGTCTAAATCTCTAACTATTAAACATGCATCATGATTTCTTTCTTGTGGTAAATTTGAAGCCATATTATATATTATTTGCTTTTTATATTTTCACTATTATTATATGTTATTTATATTATCTATTGTATATTAGCTTGTTCATATGAAAAGAAAAATTATTTAAAAAAATAAAAAAAATAATAATTTTAAAAATAAAAAAATTAAAAAAAATAAATAAAAAAAAAAAAAAAAAAAAAAAAAAAGTTATTTTGGCGAAAATTTTATAATTAAAGAAATAATTTAGACAAAATAGATTTATTGATTTTTTAAAATTTATCTTTTAATTCTCTAATATAACCTAAAACGGCAATTGTGTCAGGTGGTACTTGTGATTGTGGGTTGGCTTTTAAATAGTTGTTATAAATTGAAGGTAAATGACAACGCATGAAAGGATTAATTTTCTTTTCATTACTAATTGTGGATGGAACGGTTGGTTGTTGATTTGCAACCATTTTTTCGACTTGCTTGAAATAGCTGTTTAAATCGTTATTGTCTGATTCTAAAGTTAAAGCAAATTTTAAATTGTTTAGGGTATATTCATGGCCAACGTAAACTAAAGTTTCCTCTGGTAATTTTCCAATAATTTCATAGAGTGCATGGTACATTTGTTTTGGATCACCTTCAAACAAACGACCACAGCCACCAATAAATAATGTGTCACCTGTAAACAAAACACTTTTATTTGGCTCTTCTTCATCCAATACATAATATAAAACATGTCCACTTGTATGTGCTGGTGCTTTTAATGTTTTAATGGTTAATGATCCAATTTTTATAGTATCCCCATCATTTAATTTATTTGTAATACCTTCGATTCTTTCATCTCCACCATAAATTTTTACACCTTTAATAAGCTCTTTAATTTGGTTATTACCTCCTGCGTGATCCCTATTGGTTTAAAATTTTAGATTATTAATAATTTTTTTTTTTTTAAATTTTATTTCTTAAGATAAAACCTACCAATGATGATGAGTTGTAAAGACATTTTCAATTTGAATATCTTTTGGAGCTGCTGAAATTATTTTAGTTGGTTCACATGGATCTATAGCAACACCAAGTTTATTTTTTTCATCGACTAACAAGTAAGAGTAGTTGTCTCTATTTACAAGTACTGGAATTACCTTCATTTTATTTATATTACTATTTGTGAAATTTCTAAAAAAATACCTATTTAAATGGTTATTTATTATAAATTTTGAAAACATTAAATAGCAAAATGAACTTGAGCAAAATAAAATGAAAAAAAAAATTAAATTTAAAATTAAAAAAAAAATTAAAAAAAAATTAATTTATTTTTTTTTATTTTTTTATTTTCGAATAATTTTGATTTTGGAATTGTGATTCTTTAATAGTTATAAAGATTCTATATTAATACATAAAGATTAGGGGGTATTTGTTAAATAATATTCTTTAAAAGACAATATCTTTTAGTTTTATTCAATTTATATTTTATTTAATTTAAAATTTTTTAATTTTTTTTTTTTTAATTTTATTTATTTTTTTAAATTTTTTTATTTTTTCATTTTATTAAATTCACACCCGCATATGAAACGATGGACTGGAAAACATTAAGTTTTTGTTCATTGACTTTAGATTATTTAGTTATAGTTTATTTAAATTTTAGACAATTATTTACTTACAAAAAATTTATAAAAACAAATAAAGAAAATAAAGATTTAGCAGAAGAATTATTACTTTCAAGTCTTAGATATAGACAAACGTAGGCTAAATTATTATTACACTATCTAAATAATAAATATATAAACATATATTAATATTCTTTTTTTTTTTTTTTAAATATTTCAGAGTATTTAAAATAGTTGCAACAATTTATAGCGTAATAACGTATTTTATATTTTTACATTTTATTTATCCAAAATTATGGAACCTTTCAATCGAAATAACATCAACAGATAGTTTATTAAAAAATGAAGTAAATATTATCTTTTAAAAACATAATTTTATACTGGTATACTTATATTTATTTAATTTAGATTATTGGAACAATGTTATTTTTTGCTTTAAAAGCTTTACTTAATGTTGTTTTAAATTTCCCAGTATCATTTTTCAGTACCTTTTATTTAGGTGATGATGAATTAAACTTAAAGGCTTTTAGAGTTTTTGTGCAAGACAAAGCTTTAGCATATATATTTTCAATATTTTTATATTTCCCATTACTCACTTGCTCGATATTAATTATTAGGTCATTTTATACTCAACACTCATGGATATGTAAGTACCTGCATTGTTTAAAAAAATATTAATATTTTTTTTACTAATCTCTTTTTATTTAAAGATTGTACAGTTTTGGATTTTATTTATCAGTTTTTTATTGAGTTTATATACTCACCAATGGTTAAACCAATGTTTGTACAAATGATAAACCTTCCAGACGGGGATTTAAAGAATGATATTATTCAGGTTTGTAAAAAGACTGGTTATAACACAAATAGCGTTTTGATATCACTAGATACAGCAGCACAAAATAGTACACAACATTTAAATATTTATTGCTCACCATATTTTAAAAAACAAGTTATTATTCACGAATCATCATTCAAAAAATATAGTAAGGAAGATGTAGTTTCAGCATTGGCTCACGAAATATACCATTGCAAACAACATGATCAATTAAAGAATTTAGTCATCCAAACATTGAATAATGGTTTGTTTTTCTTTTTATTAAATCACTTTATTCAAAGTCCAACATCGTTTAGTGATTTTGGTTTTGAATATGACTCATTATACATAGGCTACTTGGTATTCTCTTTTATATATGGACCAATTCATCAACTTTTATTCAATATCTTTAGCACTATTCTCGTTAGAAATCAAGAGTTTTCAGCCGATCTTTATTCACAAACTCAATTAGGTTATAACAATTTAGAAACTTTAAAAAAGATACTCAAGATAGAAAATGGAGATAAACTAGTCGATTATTATTATTCATTAGTATTCAACAACTATCCATCAGTTATAGAAAGAATTAAGAATTTAGAATTATTATTAAAAAAGTCAAAATAAAATCCCTCCAAATTTAATTTTTAATATACAAAATAAAATTTATTTATTTATTTATTTATTTATTATTTAATTTTGAATGAATTTCTTTATAGACCTTTTCGAAATTTAAAGTAAATTGCTTCGAGTTTGAAAGAGGAGAATTTGAAAGCAAAGATCTTAAATTGTTACGTAGATATTTTAATCTATCAGGTGAACTAGCTAGTGAAACAGCAATATCGGCATATTGGTCATTTGTGGCGGCAATAAGGTCTGATAGTGACGGAATGTTATTTAGTATTGATTTGCCTACACTGTGAACGTGAGTTGGTCCTGATAGTGTTATAAATGGAACACCCATGTATAAAGAATCGAAAGATGTAGTTGTTCCATTATATGGAAATGTGTCTAATGAAATATCCATATCTGAATATGATAAATAATGAGAATTGGTATCGAATGAATAGGGTTTAAGTATTACCCTACTGATATCGAAATGATATTCATCTTTTAATGTGCCCAAATAGTCATTGCATGATGATTCTAAAATAAATAATGGTGATTTAATTAATATTTTACAAGTTGGAAGTTTATCTTGAATTCTTTTCCATAGAGTTAGTGTACAGGGTTGGATTTTTGATAGTGTATTATAACAACCAAATGTGATAAACCCGTTTGTTTCGAATGGGCATTTGATATTTTGATGGACTGGTGGAAGATGAGATGGATCAAAATTTAAAAATGTTTTTGGTAGCCTAATTAAAGTCTCGGTGAATGGCTGCTCCGTTGTAATTGGGTCAGCATGTTCGTCTGTGATCCTATATTGTAAGATGGAAGGATCTATACCGCTAGAATTTGGATAGCCTAAATAATTGATTTGAATGGGTGCGATTCTATTTACAAGTAGCTCTGCATGCTTTTCAGTGTGCATATCCAATGAAACTGCGATACTAATTTCTTTTTCCCTTATAGACTGTGACAATAGATGTGGATACTCTGATATTAAAGACTCTGGTATTTTAATCCAGTTCTTTTCATTCTTGATGAAGCCCCTTATCCTCTTTGTGAAATTATCGTCTTGGCCCCCATTGTCAATTTGAATAATATGAATATCAAATAGCTGCCTGTTATGGCTCTCCAATAAACCCATTATAAAATAGGCAATTGGATGCTGGTGGAAATGATTTGATAGATAGGCTATTTTAATAGGAGACTGTTTTGAGTATTTGGCTATCTCTTCTTTTGAAAACTGAAGTGCTTTAATTGTGTTGTGATGTCTTTTTAGTAATTTATCATTATAATATTTGAGGTGCTCCTCGTAAATCGATTTTCCTTTATCCTGATCACAGTTATATCTTTCAACAAAATTCATATAGAACAACAATAGCAAATGGGACTTGTGCTTTTGATTTTCTGATGCAGAGTTGGAGTTAATAATTAGTTTTAATCTCTTTATTGCTTTTTCAGTGAGTGAATTTTTATGCTCCAAAGCAGCCAAATTATAATGGGCCTCCCAATGAAATGGCTCTTTTTTTAAAATCCTGTTTAATAAATCTATTGACATTTGAAACTTTCCCTGTTTTTCATATAGATTTGATAAATTTAAATTTAATTCGCTATTATCTTGATTATTTTCATATGCCGTCTTTAAATATTGAAATCCCAATTGTAAATCACCACTCTTTTGATATTCTTTTGATAACTGAAAGAATTTATTCGAAATTTTAATTTTATCTAAATTCCCATTGGATGAAACAGAGTTACTTTTTGAATTGTCATTTTTTAATGTTTCTAATCTATTTTTAATAAAATCTATATTTGGTGCTAATTGATTTGCCAATTCTAATTGTTTGATTGCTATCTATTATTTTGAAATTAATTAATTTTAAAATTAATATTCCATTATCATTGATTGAATTAATTTAAAAATTAAAATTAAAATGCGTACATCATTTGGAGGTAAACATGTGTTTACAAAGCTAAATAAAGACAATGCTCTTAAATCTCTATACTCTTGGTTTGAAGGTGATGAAACCAATAATTCTAGAGACAAATCCAAAAGCCTCTTAAAATGAATTGCTTGAATCTCTTTATTTCCCCTTAAAACCTCCTCTGATTTATTCATCAATAAACCTCTTATAACATCAACTTTTTCATTATTAATAACATTGCTATTATTAACACTACCACCAATACTATTACTATTTTTATAATGTGACATAGCTGAATATCTACATTTAGAAATAAATAAAATAAAATATCATTTATTTTAATAAAAAAAAAAAAAGTTAAATTTTACAAAAAAAAAAAAACTTTTTTTTTTTTTTTTTTTTAAATTTTATTTTAATTTTTTTAATTTAAAAGTTTTTATTTTTTCTTGTGGCTACACAATAGATTTTTTTTTTATTTTATTTTATTGCATAATTCTTTTTTTTTTTGATTTATACAATATATATATAATTTATAATAATATAAATGAAATGTTTAATTATTGTAGATTCTATTAGAGATGAAACCCTCTATTCCGAATATGACCTGGATACATTGGGTATTAATATAAAAGCAATTATTCATTTCATGCAAATGAATATTGGTGAAAAACCATTTTTCTTTCAAGCTGGTAAACATAGATTTGTATTTCAATATGTAAGTATCATCATTGTATTATTATTATTATTATAATTAATATTAATATTGATATTTTTTTTAAAAAAAAATAAAAGAATGAAAATATTTGGTTTATTTTGGTATCAAATGATGATGATTCAGAAATTTTATTAAGACATAGATTAAATTTATTAAATGCATTATTTGTAATGATTTTGGGGTCAATGTTAACAGAAAAGAATTCAGGATCATTTCAAACTAGTCAACTAAAAAGATTAAAAAGAAAAATGTCACAAATTTCAGCAACTGTTAATACAATGTTTGACGAATCGCAGAGTGTTTTAGCACAAGCCTATGAAGCATTAGAAATTAATGTTGGACTACGTGATAGATGTAAAAAGAATTTAAAAGATTTATTAGACTCATATCCAGACTCTTCATTTGCATTGTTATTTGTCGGTACCAAATTAGTAGCCCATAATGTAAAAGCAAAAGAAAAACATTTATTAAATCACTATGATATATTTTTATTATCAATTTATATTCAAATTCAATTACATCCAAGAAGTATGTACTATTCATTCATTTTCAACAATATAACTATCAAATATAACTTTTAAACTAACTTTTTTTTTTTTTTAATAACCATTTAGTTGTTGAAAAAATTCCAATGAAATCGGTAGACTCTCCAATATCACAAGAAATATCATCATTTGAAGAGATACCACCAATGTCATCAGGTACGATGGATGGTGGCCCAGGTGATAGAAATATATCAGGATCACACAATCAAGACTATGAATTAAGTGCAGAAGAAGATAATTACGAAACTGCACCAGAGGATTTTGAAGAACCACTATACTTTTTATCAAGTCCATTTTTGGATCAATTATTAGAAGAATCAACAAATAAAAACAATAATAACAACACTAATAATAATAACAATAGTAATAATAAAAGAAATAAGCAACACAATCTATTGGTTGAATCATTAAAAGAAGGTTTAAAAGGAACATCAACTGGAGAAGCTGTATCTTTATTAAACTACTCACTTTATTCAATTGGTTGCTTGGATGAATATAATCATAGCACAAGAGAAATCTATACTTCAACTACTGAATATGCTGTTAAAAAATTCCAAGAAGAAAATAATTTACCCTCAACTGGTGTTGCAGATTTTAATACAATTAGATTAATTCTTTGTAAAGTTAGATTGACAGACCCAATCTTAAAGCGTAGATCAATTGCATATAGCGATACTGATTTAGGGCAATTTAGAGACATCTCGTTAAATGATGACCGTTCGTCAAGAAACTCATCATTTAAAGATAGAGATAATCAAATAAATAATAACTCTACAACCTCAATATCATCAACTACCTCTACAACTTCAAATACCTCAATGCACTCAACCAATATGAATAACAACAATATGAATAATACCAACAATATAAATAATATGAACCAAAACAATAGCAATAATAATAATAACAATAATAATAGTAATAATTTAAATAATACTTTTAATTTACAATTTGATGATTCAAATCTACCACAATATATACCAGCCGAGTCAACTTATGAACAAATTAATTTAAGATTAGGTAACCAAATATCAAATGTTTATGCATTTTGCGCTGAAGTTCAAAAAAATACATTTTTAGTAGTAATAAATAGAACTGGTGGTAAACAAAGAGATTTGGCAGCAGAGAAAAAGAATTTAGAAAACTCAAAAGCAATCATTTATAACAATATATGTAAAACCTATGGTGACTTTTTATTAGCAAAAGAAAAAGGAAATATAGCAATCTCTAGATTCTTCCATATTCCAGGTATTGTTCACTTTTTATTAATTGATCGTGCCAATCATCGAATTCGTGCTCCAGTAATATCACCCGATTTAATACCAACCAAAATCCTAGATTCTGATCAAAAATACCATCCACTTCATGCATACGATAACAATGGAGAATCACCATCCTATTCAGATACTCAAAATAATATGGTCAAGTTTTTAAAGAAGAAAATTTGGACAATGTACAGTTATTGTTGCCAACAATTAATACGTGGTGGTAATCATTACATGATTTGGAATGATAAAGATTTTCAATACAGCTATCGTTTATGGATTGCAGATGACGAAAACAATGAACACAAATTAGATCATTCCGTTTCATTCCGTTTAAATCCCAAATCATTTTATGCTGATCTCTTAAAAAGCTCCTTCCCCCACTCTTCAAAGATGAAATGCTACGAACTTTTAGTTTTATATATAGGTGTATTACCAACAACAATGGTTTCAAAAAATGATAGAGCACTTTATCATTTATTATTTGAAATGGATGAATAAATAAAAATAAAAATAAATAAATAAAAATATTTAATTTTTTAATTAAATATAATTTATTTACAATTTAATTATAAATCACAATCTGTTATAATTAATTATAATCCATTATCATAATTAAAGAATTTCTTTATTTTTTTAATATAAATATTTTGATTATTGATTGTTGATTATTATTATTATTATGGCTTTAAAAAATAAATATCTTGAAAATTTTTATTTGATCGACCTATTTTAAAAACCAAAAATAAAAAATTATTTGCATATTTTTATTTTATTAAAAAAAAAAATGAAAAAAAAAAAAAAGATAAAAACATATTTGCAAATATCATTTTTCTTTTAAAATATAAAAAATAAAAAATTAAAAATTAAAAAAAATAAAATTGAAAGATATTTAAATTTCCAAAATTATAAAATAATAGTAAACATTATATATATTTAAACTAAAACCAAATATATCAAAATTAGTTTTTTTAACAATCAATATCAATGATTCTACCCAAAAAAATAAAAAAAGGTATATTTTTCACACAAAGCATAAAATAAAAAATAAAATTAAAAAAAAATTAAAAAAAAATTTTTTAAAATTTTTTTTATTTTATTTTATTTAATTTTTTTTTGTAATTTTTTTATATATATATTATTTTTTTTTTTTTATTGTTGTTTTTTATATTTTTTTATTTTTAAAATTGTTAAATAAAACACTCAACATAATAAAATAAAATAAAATATCCTAAAATATAATATTCTATATAGTATTAAATTATATATTTTATTTATTTTTTTAATTAGTACTATTTATATATATAAATTATATATTTAAAGTAGTAACAACATTAAATATCACACATACCAATAATAAAATTAATTAAATATATTATTTTTTTTTTCTATCAGAAAAATAATATACTAGTTTTTTATTTTATTTCTTAAAAACTTTTAAACTATATAAAATATATAAAAAAAAATGGGTTGTTCACCATCAAAAGAAGGTAGTGGATCATTTACAACAACTTCCTCAGCATCGCTTCATGGAAGTGAGTCTCATCCAGAATAGTATGTATCATATAATGTAAATCCAACAGTTTTATAAATCTAATATTTCTTTTTTTAATAATAAACTATTATAATAGTGATATGCTTTTAAAGATTTTAGGTATGATTAGTTAAGATAAAACGATATGTGCAAATAATAGGATACATACTAATATTTTTATTTTATTTTAGTCATTGGTGATTCAGGTGTTGGTAAAAGTTGTATGCTTTTACGTTTTGCCGATAATCGTTTTACTGATAGTTATATTTCAACCATTGGTGTCGATTTTTGTATTAGAACTATCGAATTGGATGGAAAGAAAATTAAATTACAAATTTGGGATACTGCCGGTCAAGAAAGATTTAAAACTATTACAACTTCATACTATAGAGGCGCTCATGGTTTAATTATTGTATGTTATTTGATTTTTAGTCGATTAAAACAACACAACTAATTTAGTACTATTATTATTATTATTATTATATAGGTATACGATATAACTTCTATGGATTCATTCAACAGTATAAAGAGATGGTTAATTGATGTCGATAGATTTGCCTCCCCATCTGTTTTAAAACTTATTGTTGGTAATAAATGTGATCTTAAAGATAAAAGAAATGTTGATTTTAAAGTTGCAAAGGTAATATAATTTTTATAGAAAATCAATTAAATATAACAATCATAATTTATATATTCTTATTAAAAAACTATTCTATTATCTATTTAGAAATTTGCGGATGAATTAAATATTCCAATTATGGAAACCAGCGCCAAAGAATCAACTGCAATTGATGATGCTTTTATAAAATTAGCCTCTGATATTAAAAAAAGTGTACCCCAAAAACAATAATAAAATTAACATAATTTTAATAAAACAACTTTAATCATTAAAACATCATAACAACCAATACAGCCATAGCATCAATAACAGCAGTAATAGAAAAAGAAATTGTTTTATTATTTGGGAAAAAAAAAAAAAAAAAAAAAAAAAAAACTTATAATAAAAAAATAAAAAAAAATTTTAAAACTATTAATCCATACACTCAATTATTTAGTTTGATTAAATTAAATAATATATTTTTCCTATATTTTTTTCTAAACATCGATTGGTGTGGATATCATTTTTTTTAAATTTTTTTTTTTTTGCCAAAGAAATCGGTTATAAGAAAAATTTAAGTATTACAAAAAAAAATCTATTTATTATTGGAATGTTAAAATAATTTTTTATTTTTTTTTATTTAAATAATAATCAAGTATTGTGCTTAGTGGATGACAAAATAATTAAAATCAATGATGATTTAAATATAGTTTGCCATCCTCACGTAAATGCATCCTCTTCAACTAATATCTCATCTGCCCAAAGTGACTCTGCCTCTGGCTGGGGTGCTATCGGTATATCAATTGTATTATTGGCATCCTCTTTTTTATTAAATTATTTATTTTAATGTTTTAAAGAAATAAAAATGAATTGTTTTTTTTAAAAAAATGCAAAAATCTTTTATTATAAACTTGTCGTGTAAAAGAAATCTAAAATAAAAATAAAAATAATGTGTGTGTAAAAATATATATATTTTTTTTTTTAAAGTTTACTTTTTATAATTTTATTTTTTAGATTACCTCATTGTTTAAAAAAAAAAAAACGAATGAGTTTATTTGAGAGGTGAAAGATACAAAATAAATGATAGTTTATAAAAAAAATATTTTGATTGTGATATGTGTATATTAAATTAAAAGTGATTATTTTGTGAGGATGAATTAATTAGATTCGTGAATAATCATTGAAGCTCTATCTTGACCAACACCAATCCAGTAAACTGGAACACCAATTAATTTTTCAATACGTTCGATATATTGTTGAGCTTGAATTGGAAGATCTTCATATTTGGTAATATTTGAGATATTTGAATTCCAACCTGGTAAAGTTTCATAAACGACTTCACATTTAGCTAAGACTTCTAATGAAGCTGGGAATGAATCTAAGATTTCGCCATTATATTTGTATTGGACACCAATTTTAATTTCGTCTAATTTGCTGAGGACATCGAGTTTGGTAAGATTTAATTTAGTAAAGTCGTTGATCATTGAAGTGTAACGAAGAACAACAGCATCTAACCAACCAATTCTTCTTGGACGACCAGTAGTGGTACCGTATTCACCACCTTCTTTACGAAGAGCTTCACCGAAATCACCATGTAATTCAGTTGGGAATGGACCAGCACCAACACGAGTGGTGTAGGCTTTGACGACACCAATTTGAGTGATGACTTTATTTGGAGCAATACCAAGACCAGTGCAAGCACCACCAACAGATGAAGCGGATGAGGTAACGTATGGATAGGTACCGAAATCTAAATCCAACATAGTTGATTGAGCACCTTCAATTAAAACTTTTTTACCATCTTTGAATGCTTTATTTAAATAATAAACTGAATCGATAACAAATGGTTTAATTTTTTCGGCAAATTCTTGATATCTCTTAATTTCAGCATCAACATCGTATTCGAAGGAACCAAATCTTTTATGTTTATTTTCGACTAATCTGGTAAAAGCTTTTTTGAATTGATCTGGGAAGAATAAATCACATACTCTTAAACCACCTCTGTAATAAATTTAAAAAAAAAAAAAAAAAAAAAAAAAAAAAAAAAAAAAAAAAAAAAAAAAAAAAAAAACGAAAATTAATATTATGATATATTTAGATAAAAGTATTTTGTTTAATGAGTGTCTACAAACCTTGAAGCTTTTGATGAGTAACATGGACCAATACCCTTTTTGGTGGTACCAATACTATCGTTTGAAATACCAGCTGAGAGCTCTTGTTCTTTCATAGCATCGATCATTTGATGTAAATCAAAGACTATATGAGCACGATCGGAGACAAAGAGACGGCCATCGTATTTGATGCCCTTTTCTTTAAGACCTTCAACTTCTTTAAAGAAGGTTGGGAGATGAATAACCATACCATTACCGAGAATGCAAGTGGCTCTTTCATTTAAAATACCTGATGGAATTAAATGAAGAGCAATCTTTTTACCACTGACAACGATAGTATGACCGGCATTAGCACCACCTTGGCATCTGGCAACTACGTCATATTCTTGTGAAAGAATATCGACTAATTTACCTTTTCCCTCATCACCCCATTGTGAACCAATAATAATTGAGGCCATTTCTTTTCTTTTTCTTTTTTTTCTTTTTTTTTTAAAAAAAATATAAATATAACAAATTTAAATAAATTAAATTGTTATAAAAATAAAATAATTAAAATAGAAATAAAACTAAAGAAAAAAAAAGTGAATGAAAAATGAAAAATTTAAAAAGAAAAAAAAATTATACTATAGCGGGTACTATATAAAATTTTCTCTTTTTTACAAAATTATTTCGATTTTTTAAAAAAAAATAAACAATTATTTTTTAAAAAAAAAGAAATAAAAAACAAAAGATAATTATAACAACATTTTTTTTTTTTAAAAAATTTTTTTTTTTTTTGTTATTTATTATTTTTTTTTTACAAAAAAAAAAATTAAAAAAAATTAAAAAAAATTAAAAAAAAAAAAAAAAAAAAAAAAATTTACGTAAGTCGCAACCTTTGGGGATTTTTTTAATAAATAGCAAAATAATGTAATGATCACAATTTTACTATTTTTTTTTTTTATGATTTATTTGTTTAATTTAATTTAATTTTATTTAATTTAATTTAATTTAATTTTTTTTTTTTATTTGTTTTGTTTTTATTTCTTTTTATTTTTATGTTTTTTATTTGGTTTGTTTTGTGTTTTGTTAAATATTAATGAGAAAAAAAAATAAAAAAAAAGCAAAAAATGTTTTTATTGAGTATCATATCATATTAATAAATATATATATTAATAATACATACACACAGACAAACACACACACAATTATATATTTTTTTAAATGGAAATTTGAAAAACTTATTTTTTTTTATTTTTTCTTTTTTTTTTATTTTTTTAAAAAAAATATTATTTTTTAATTATTTTTTTTTTAAAATTTTTTAAATTAATTGTTTTTTATTTTTTATTAAAATAATTAAATAATTAGTATTTTATAAACAATAATAATAATAACAAATAAAATTATATAAAAAAGAATATTTATGTTATGGTGTATTTAAATTATATATATATTATACATAAGAAATAAATAGAATAATTTAAAATAAAAAATTGGAGCATTAGTATCCTTTTTTATTTTCTTTTTTTTTTTTTTTTTTTTTTATTTTTTTATTTTTTGTTTTTATTTTGTTTTTATTTAGTATATTAATATATAGGGTTTTTAATAAATAAAAATATCAAAGAGAATTATTGATTAATGAAAAGATTACAAATAATAATAAATTAAAACTAATAAAATAATAAATAGTTTAGAAAATTTATAGTAATAAAATATAATAGTAATAATAAAAACAATAATCAATACTTAATAAATGATAGGATTTAATAAGATTAAAACAAAACTTAAAAGTAATGCAAACAATAATGCAAACCAACAATTGCAATCTCCTCAATCACAAATACCAGCACAGCCACAGCAACCCATAAACAATCCAAACCCACAACCATTAATATCTAAAGTTAAGCAATGTTCACCCACATTTTCAGGTAAAAGCACAACTCTTTCAAGAAAATCAATGCTACGTAGTAGAAGAGTTGTCGTTTTTGGTAATAAAGGTGACTTTTTATCAAATCTACTTTGCACAGTTTTATCGCAGTATGAATGTTTAGTAACTTTAGTATTTCTACAAAAACCAGTTGATAGTACAGCAACAGTAGCAACTCCAACAAATGGTATCAATCATAGCAATAGCAGCAATAATTTTAAAGTATTGGAAATCAGTATTGAAGATAGAGATAAAATTAGTGAGATTATTAAAGAAAATGATTCAATTATAGGATGTTTCGAATGGTGCGAATTTAGAACACTTTATGAACAAGTAAAGGTACTTTCAGTAGAGCTCAAAGAAATATATAATAAAACCAGCAGTGGTGAAAATAACAAGTCATTGGATAAACAAATTATGGTAGTCTATCCAATCGGTGTGGAAGATGTCGAATACAATATTGATAATGTTTCAATCGAAGTCATATTTGATCCATTACCAGTAGCCTTTATTTTTTATTCAGCACTAATGCAATGGCTATTTATTGGTCCACCTACAATAAGTCAATCACACTTACAATTGCTTCTAAGCAAACCAACAGAAGGTTGCTTTTGGTTAGATTGCGATGACCTTATTAAAGCGATAGTGGAGTTAATGATTCAGGTAGGTGTTTTTTATAAATCATGGGGATTAATAGAATGTTATACTAATATTTTTTATTTTTTTCATTTTTCTTAATTCATAAAAAGGTTGATCTAAGTTGCACAAGTAAAATGCTAGTATTAACCGGCAAAGAGTCATTAACGTGCATCCAAATATCAAATGTTTTATTAAATGAATATAATATTATAGTTGATGATTATATTGAAGATAAGAATAATACTGACAATAAACAACCAGCATTAACAGATACCCAAATTCTTCAAAAAAAGTTTTTCACATATTTACAATCACCAATTTCAATTGTAAACTCTCCTTCAATTGAGGAGATTATTGGAACACCACCAACCTCATTTTCAAATTTTTTAATTAAATCAAAAGAAAATCAATTAATTACAATTAAACCATCAAGATCAAATTCAAATTCAAAAAAAATAGAGAATAATAGTGGTTTAGTTAGTAATGATAATAATAGTAATAGTAATATAAATAGCAATAATAATAGTGATAATAATAATGGTAATAATAATAATGGTACTAATATTGATACTAGTGTTATGAGTGCAACTATATCTACTTCAACATTAACTACATCGATAGACTCGTCAACTAATACTGAAGGTACAGCAACTAAACCACTATCGGTATCATTAGATCCAAAATTATTAAATAAAGCATCACCACCCACAACACCGCAACAACCAAATAATTCATCAACACCATCCTCATCATCATATAGATTCGTTTTTAATCCATTTAATATTTTAAAGTATTCCAAAGACTTTATCGAAGAAACCCTTTATAGACCATCAGCTAATGTAAATCAATCTAAAAAATTAGTACAAGATCAAGAAACTCAACAGTATATTAATTTATTAACTATTGGTTTTAAAAAATTATTTGAAAGTGATATTGACTCAATGGCAGTCAATGGACAAAATAATAATAGTAATAATAATAACAATAATTTAAATGTAAATAATGTAAATATAAATAATAAAAATAGTAATGGAGAAACACCAGCAAATCAAAAAGACGGGGCTTGTATTATTGGTGATTTTTCAAACGAAGATTTTAATCAAGAAACCAATATTGAAATCCCAATTGATTCAGTTGTAGATTTAGAAGAGGAACAGCATATACATCAATTCCATCATTTACAACATCCACCCCAACCAGTATCCACATCTGAAAGTTCATCAGCAACTGTAACAACAATGGCAACAACAACAACAACGACAACAACAACAGATTCATTTAACACAACAACTATAACCTCATCAACAGTCACTACAAACACAGAGTTATCATCATCTACAGCATCATTAACATCTTCATCATCAGATAATTGGCAGTTTACCATATTCTCACCAAAGGTTTTTAAAGCAATAAGAAAATATTATAATGTTGACAACGATTTCCTTAGAACCAAATCATCAATAGGCAACCCAGAGATATCTGATATTGTAAAGTTTTTAGAGGTTCAAACTATAGGTAGAAGTGGTAGTTTTTTCTATAAATCAGAGGACTGTAAATACTTTATAAAAACAATTCCATCAAGCGAGTATGACACATTCACTAAATTATTTCCATCATATTATCAACACATTAAAAAGTATCCAAATACTTTGCTTCCAAGATTCTTTGGAGTATATCGCTTAAAGGGTAAATTAAAATTAAGTGGTGCTTCCTATTATAGTAGTGCCCATAGAGATATCATATTTGTTGTAATGGCCAATCTTTTCTATTCTGAACAAAAGTTGGAAATTAAAGAAAAATATGATTTAAAAGGTTCAACAATAGGTAGATATGTTGATGTTAATCAAATTCAGCAACAATTAGCCGAGGAGCAACAACAGCATCACCATCAAAACGGTACAGATAGTTTGAATACAAGTAATAGTAGTAATAGTAGTTGTAATAATAGCAATCAAATAAATGGTGTAGATAATAGTATTAATATTCAAATTCAGGATTTAACATTCAAGGATTTAAATTTAAAAAGAAAGATTCATTTGGGTAAATTAAAAAAAGTATTTATACAACAGTTATCAATCGACTCTGAATGGATGAGCAGCCATGGTATATGTGATTATAGTTTATTGGTTGGTTTACATATAAGTGACAAGAAATCAATTCAAACTCTTAAAGAATCTCAAGGTCCAAAGTCACTTGAGAAAAAGGATATATCCTATTTCAAAAAGGATTTTAATGGTATTGTTGAAAGTGTTCATACCCCGTTACCAATATTCAAAATTAGAGATCGTTCAAATTCATGCTCGAATGCAACTGATTTATCATCTGATCTTAATAATAATAGTAATGGTAATGCAACTTTTTCTCCACAACCACCATCATTATCAACTTCAAATATAATTTATAGATCGAATACAGAAGAAAGTGATGGAGGTATAGTTTATTATTTAGGTTTAATTGATATTCTAACAACTTATAATTTAAAAAAGCGTGGTGAAAATGCTATAAAAGGAATGTTGTTTGATAGAGTAAGTTTAATATTAAATTTAATATATTTTTTTTAATAAGGTATCTCAATACTAATAACATCTTTTTTTTTTATTTTTTCTTTGTTAGACTCAAATATCAGCAATTAACCCAAAAGATTACCAAAGTAGATTTATAAAATATATTGAATCAATATTTGAATAATATAATAGTATTTTTTGTTCCTTATATAAAAAAATAAAAATAAAAATAAAGATAAAAATAAAAATAAAAATAAAATTAATAAAATGAAATAGTAACAACACATAATAATTTTCATAATAATAATAATAATAATAATAATAATATAAAATAATATAATAGATCAAATAAAATTATAAATTATATTTATTTGATAATATTATAACACAGAAACCTTTAAACCAAATCAATCAAATCAAATCAAATCAAAAAAAAAATTGATTCCGCACTAACATCAAATAATAATAATAATAATAATAATATTTTAAAAGAAAACAACTTTTTTGAACATATTCAATAAAAATAGTATGTGTGGTGTTTAAGATTTAATCATTATAGAAAACTTTCCTAAAATTTAATTTTAAATTTAAATTAAATTATATAAAATTAAAATTTAAATAATTTTTTTTTTTTTTGTTCTATTTTTAAACAAATGTTAGATTAAAATTTAAAAAAACACCCCCCACTCAAAAAAATTCTTTGTTCAATAAGTGTGTGTTTGTGTGTTAAATTGTTTCATGTTATAATAATTGTTTTTTACATAATTAACATCACTGTTAATATTTTTAGAAATTAAAAAAAAAAAATATATATATATTTTTTTCTTTTTTTATTTTGTTATTTTTTTTTATTATACACATAAAGAGTAAAGAGAAAAAAAACAAATAGAGAAATTAATTTCATATAACAATTTAAAATTTTTATATGTTAAAAAGTGCATATATACATAAAGTAAATATTTAACCCACTTTACCACACATACACACATTCGCACACAAATTAACACACATCCACCCAAAAAAAAAAAAAGAAAACTTTCTTTCTATCCAAACACTCGCACAAAAACACAAATACAAATAAACAACTCACATGTACTCACCCTCTTTTCCCTTAGATATATATATACATTATAAATTGGATAAATTATTATTTTAAATTGTATATAAAAACAATATTTTTTTTTTTTTTTTTTTTTAATTAATTTTATTTTATTAAATTTTTTCCTCTCTCTACACATTAATTTAAATTACACACGCACACACAAATAATTATATAAAACAAATAAAATTATTCACATACACTAATACTATACATAATTATATATCTTTTTTTTTTTAATATTACTTTTAAATAAAAATTATTAAAAATTATTTTTTATTTATTTTTTTTTATTTTTTTAAATTATTTTAATTTATATTCATATAAAATTAATAGTAATAATAATAATAATAATAATTTTATAGTAATAATAATAAAATAATATTTTTTTTAATATAAAATAATAAAAAAAAAAAAAAAATAAAAATTTTTAAGAAATTTATTTAAATCTCTAAAAATTAATCATTAAACAAAAAATTTAATAATAATATTTTCTTTTTCAAAAAATTATTAAATTTTAAAATATAGATTCTTTTCCCAAAATTAAATTAAAGTTCAAAACAATTCATATCAGAAATGATTGATATAATACCAAAGGATATTAATACTCTCAGAGATAAAAAGAAGAAGAAAAGAGAAAGAAAGAAATTAAATGATGTGATATGTTCAAATGGTAACACAACAGTTGGTGCAGCCAGTAGCACCGATTTATTAGAGCAACAGTTAAATAATGACAGTAACCAAAATGGCTCTTTAAATAATAATAGTAATAACAGCAGCAATAATAATAGGAAATGTTTTAAAACCAATAATTCAAATAATAGTATCATTATGGTAAACCATAATAATCAACAAAAAGAAGATTGTTTAAGATGTAATAAAAATAATAGATTTAACCACAATAATTGTATAAATAAAATAAATGGTATTGATAATAGCAATAGTAATAATAAAAATATTTTTAAAAATAAAAATAAAATGGATATAGATATAGAGGAGGATGATATGGTTTATATGGATATAGATAGTTGGTATAGTGGCGATCCATTGGTTTCAGAGGTTTTAAAGGATGAAAAAGAGACGCTAGGGCTAATAGAGAAAAAAAAATTAGAATTGCAATCAGTTGAAAAGACAATTTCAACTTTACAAGAAGCAAAAGATGCAATATTAAAAGATATCCAAATAAAAAAACAATTTTTAAAATCTGTTCAAAAAAAGAAAGAGGACCAAATAAAAACAATAACTAATAGCTACCACTCAATCGCAACAAAATATAATTTATCTCAAGTAGAGTGTCGTACTTTAACTTTAATTTTGCCTGAAGAAGTTATGTTACATATTTTTAAATTCCTTTCACCATTGGACATATGTAGAGGAGTTTGCAGAGTTTCAACTAAATGGAGATCATTAGCATTTGATTTGGGTTTATGGAGAGACCTCTGCTTACAAAGAAGATTATTAGACGGTTCAAACTATTACATTCCAACAACTCCTAGATCAGCATCAACATCATCTCTATCATCTCTATCCTCTTCATTATCATCATCTTCTTCATCAATTTCAAGTTGTAGTAGTGGCATAGAATCATTAAATAATTCAAGCGAAAATATAAATAATAACAATAATAATAACAATAATAACAATAACAATAACAATAACAATAACAATAACAATAACAATAACAACAATAATAACAATAAATTAAGCTGGAATAGTAATTGGTATGTTGGTGAATATAGAAAAGATACAAATTGGAGAAGAGGGAAGTATAGTACAACTATATTAAGAGGTCATAAGGAGATTGTATGGAGTCTTTTATTCGAATCAGATAGCAATACCTTAATAAGTGGCAGCGAAGATATGACAGTTAAAGAATGGAATTGCAATGGAGTTGGTAATAGCGCACAGTTTTTAGATGATCTAGATGATAGCAAAAAACGTTGTACAAAAACACTTACTGGTCACAAAAATGGCACAATTTGTTTGGGAAGTACAGAAACACGTTTGGTTAGTGGTAGCGCAGATGGAAGTTTAAAGATCTGGGATCGTCAAGATGGTAGTTGCTTAGAAACAATTCAAACACACAGCTCTGTTTGGTGTCTACAAATTATGGACAACTCTTTAATCTGTGGTTGTGTAGATGGTACAATGCGTGTATTCGATTTAAATACCTCAACATGTTTAAGAACTATGAGAGGTCATACAGCTCCTGTTAGATGTTTACAAGCAGTAAACCACAATGGTCAAGATCTTATTGTATCTGGTTCCTATGATAAAACTATCAAGATTTGGGATATGAATGCCCACTGTATAAACACTATTCGTGCACATACTCATAAAATTAACTGCCTTCAATATGAAAATGGCCAATTAGTAAGTGGTAGCCATGATAGTTTCTTAAAGGTAATTATAAATATTATATTTAAAATTGTTTTTAAATAATACTTATTTATTTATATTTTTTAAAAATTAGATTTGGGATATGAATGGTTCATTAATTCGTACATTAAAGGGTCATGATAATATGATTCATTGTTTACAATTTAAAGGTAATAAATTATTAAGTGGTTCAACTGATAGTACTATCAAATTATGGGATATGAAAACCGGTGCAAATCTAAACACAATAAAGGGTCAATCGGCAGTTTGTTGTCTTAAATTTAATGACTCAAAATTAATTACTGGTTATGAAGATTCAACAATTAAAATATTTGATTTTTCATACTAAATAATTCCAATAACAATAAATAATAATATATAATCACCATATTCCTCCTCTTCCAAATTATTAAATTAATAATAAGGATAATTTAAAACAATATAGGAACCTAGATATTCTAGTTTTTATTTTTTTAAAGTAATATTACAAATTTTTTTTTATTAATTATACTAATAAAAAAATAATAAAATTAAAATTTACAAAATTTATAAAACCAAGTTATCCATTAGCTCAATATATTTTATTTATTTATTTTATAATATTTTTTATAATAATAGTATGTTTTGTATTTTTTATTTTTTATCAATGCATAGTATTGGGTTTGATATAATTATAGTTTATTTATTAGTTTTAATGTGTATAGTTATTCCAAAAAAATATAAACTAAATATTATTGATAAAAAATGCTTTTTAAATTAAAATGAAAAATATTGAAAAAAAAAATTTTAAAAAGAAAAAAAAAATTAAAAAAATTTTATTTTTTATTTTTTTTTAAATTTTTTGGAAATATAATCATTTAGAACACAGATACAATGGAAAAAGTAAAATATAAATTCGATTGCTCTTTAAAATAGTAATAATAACGAATAGATAACTAATTTACTAAAAAAAACTAGGTATTTAATATAGGAAAACTTGTAGATTTTCAATGGAAGCTTGGTGTTGCATCAGCATCAAATCATTCATCACAATTAAATACACCATTCATCACAGTTTTTATTAAAGTTTTAGATTCAAATAGCAAAGTTACTGCTCATTCATTCGAGCTTACAATTTCAGAGTTTAAGGTAAAAAATTAATTAATTATTCATATTTATATAATCACAAATTTACTCATTCATATTTTATTATTTAGAATTTTGCACAACAATTTAAAGATATGTCACAACTAATTGAATCTTTATAACGAAATAATAAATAATAAATAATAATAATAATAATATTAAAAACGATAAAACTGTATATATTAAATTTTAAAAAAAAAAGAAATAAAAAATATAAGCCAATTAAAAAAAATAAACCTTTTTAATTAAACGAATTAAAAATAAAACATATAACTACAAATTGTTTTTATATTATAAAAAATTAAAAATATTTTAAGATTTTATTTAGTTTATTTTTTTATATATTTATTAAAATAAATATCTTTTTCCTTTTTTTTTATATATATATTAAATATTATTAATACTTGAAAATTTGACCATACCAGGAGTTAATAACAACATAGAGACCAGAGGTTCTCATTTGTTCAGATGAACGATAATAAGTAGTACCTGAAAGTAAATCGGTAACTGGAATTGTGTCATTACCATTGGCTGGTTCGGCATCATCAAGGATGATAGTACCAGTGCCTTGTTGATCTGAAAAGTTTAATACACAAAGTCTTTTTTCGTTTTGATAGGTCCATTTATAGGCAACAAGATTCCAACTTTCTTGATCGTTTGTACAATTTAAATAAGTGAATTCACCAAATTTGAAAACTGGGTCGCTTACAATTGAGGTAAAAGTATTGTAGAAAGCCATGGCATCACCAATAGCTGGTTCAGATTCTTCACGTCTTAAATGAACATCTAATTGATTTGAGTAACCTTCGAAATCACCCCACCAGAAGAAACGAAGACCTGGTAATGTGTAAGTAATTAAAGCAGCGGCATTGGATCTCCACCAGCTACCAAAGAATGAAGCACCTCTTGGTTCGTCATGATTAGCAATAAAGTGAGCTGAATGAGTAGTGAATTGTTTTGAATGACCTGAAATCCATGCTCTAACGGCGTTCATATCACCACCATTAAGAATATCGTGAAGCATTTTGTCGTAAGTATAATCAAAGCCAACTTGTTGAAGATTTTCTTCATATGGGTGATAAACTTCTGCTAAAAAGATAACATTTGGATATGATTCTTTAACAATTTGAATTGCAATTTCCCAAAACTCTTGTTCTGGTTGTTGGAATCCCCATGATGATAATTGTGATTGCCAATTAGATCCAAATAATGAATTTAATAATAAATAGGCCATATCACATCTAATACCATCAGCAAATGATGCAACACTAAAATTAAAAAAAAAAAAATTTTAATTAATAAATTAATAAATTAATGAATAAATAAATGAATAAAATTTATAAATCACATACGTTAATAACTGTTGAATTCTTTGTTTAATTAACACTGGGTTCCAATAATTTAATTGAGCAGTATCAAACCAAGAGCCACCCCAACCAGCACTACCGTAGGCAATACCATTTGGAAGATAGGTGTTGTTATCATATGGAGTTGGTGTTCCTTCTGGTGCACGAATATAATAATCTATATCTGAGCTAGTCCATGGACAATCAACAGCAGTGTGATTTGGAACAAAATCTAACATTAATAATAAACCAATAGCATTAAGTTGTTTTCTTAAATTAACTAAATCTTGTTCGAGACCAACTTGTGGATTAACTGAATAATTGGTGACAGCATATGGTGAACCAATAATATCTGCTTGTGTATAACCTGGTAAAACTTGGGCATAATGTTGTAATAATGGTCCGTTGGTTTGATCATAATTAATACCATATTCACCTAATTCCCAAACACCCATCATCCAAATCATATCAAATCCCATATCTTTAATTTTTTGAAATTCTTGGAATGGAATATCTATTGGAAATAAAATATAGTTCAATTAATATTATATTTTATATTGCACACACCATTTTTTATATTATTCTACTTACCAGCAATACTATTAATAGGTTTGTTATAAGTAACTGAAAGATTATACATCCATGGTCTAGTTGAAATTTCGTACATCATCATACCACCTTGTGGTACTGTACTTTGTACCATTGATTTTGTACTTGTAATTGACATTATAGTTAAACTGATAAAAATGATTATAAAAACCAAACTAAATGGTCCAAAACTTTTATTCATTATTTTTATTTTAGTTTTTTTTTGTTTTGTTTTAAAATTTACAGAATTATATTATTTACAAAAAAACTGTTTAGAATTTATTAAACGAATGAATGTGATTAAATGAATGTGGAAATTTAATTTTTTAAAAAAAAAAAAAAAAAATTCAAGAACACCACAAAGAAAAATTAATTTTGTTATAGTGAATTTGAAGAATAATACAAACAAAAACAATAGTGAATAGTTTTTTTTTTTTTTTATTATGATAATAATTTTCTTTGTATAAATCTTTGAATCATTTAAAAAAAAAAAATTAAAAATTAAAAAAAAAAAATTTAAAAAAAAAAAATTTAAAAAAAATAAAATTTCATATCAAATTTTTTTTCTTTTGGCATGTTTATATTGATATTTTAGTTTTTTCGTGCATACCTTCAAAAAGACACTCTGGTCTAAATTTTAATTGGTTTTATTTTTTTATTTTAAAAAACCATACGCACACGATAACGATATTATGATTAACACACCAAAAAAATTTTGGTGAAGTGGTGTCCACCACTTTTTTTTAGTTTTATTTTTTTACTTTTACTTTTTGGGTTATATTTTATTTTATTTTATTTTATTTGTTTTTGAGGGTTGAAATTAAAGATCAATTTGGCATTGTTGAGATCTTGTCAATTGAGGTTAATATTCCTGAAATATTTTGTAAAGTTTCAATACCTCTCATCAAATTTTTAATATTCATGTCGGCATCGTTTGAGGCTTGATAAAGTAAGTGGGTGACCATTTTGCCCTTTTCTTTAGCATCTTGGAGTCTGTAACGAAGCTCTTGAATCTCTGGATTGTTTGAACCTGTTGATCTAAGAAGTGAGATGTCATTTTTTAATTGTTCAACTTGATTCTCTGCATTTTGTGCTCTTTTTTTTGTTGCTAAAAGATTCTCTTCAACCTGTGCTACCATATCCTCCATTATTTTGGTTTCATTTGCTTCTTTTATTTTGAACTGTTCTAATCTATTCTCTGTTTGTTGTAATTTTAATTCTGCTGATTCTTTATCGTTTTTATACTTTACACATTGAACCTTTAATGCTTTTACCATTGACTTTAATTTTGTAATTTCTTCTTTTAAATTTTCATTTTCTTCTTTTAATTCATTATTGGTATTATTATTAAGACTATTATCGTTACTATTGTTGTTGTTGGATACAGTTGTTGAACCATTTATAACTACATTTTTATCAATTAAATTTGTATTTGCGCTTGCTAAAACATGACCATCAAAACTAGTTGAGAGGGAATTTGGTGCTATTGCGGTTGCTCCTGTTACAGTGGTTGTTGGTGATATAATTGAAACGGTAGGTAATGCCATTGGTATACTCTTATCGAATTTTTCTAATTTTTCTTCGTCTTCATTATTTACATTCCCATCATCAAATAGAAGTGTAAGTTTCTTTTTTGTCTGTACTGTTGTTGTTGTTGATAATGAGGCTGTTACTGTAGGTGTTGGTATTGATGCAGATACTGGTGCTACAGTTTTATTAGTTTTACTAATTGAAGAAACTGCTACTGGTGGTGGCGTTATTATATTTGCGGGGATAGTTGGGGCTTTAGGTAAACTTGGCTTTGGTTGTAAACTGCTTTCCATTTCATCATCATCATCGTCATCATCGTCATCGTCCTCCTCATCATCGTCGTCATCATCATCAAATAGGTTTGTATTTATTTTAGATTTATTACTCTTTGTTGTTTCTGGGTTTGTCTTTATTTTATTTGTTGTGGTAACTGATGCAGTATTGTTAAATGTTGGGAGTGGTATTTCGTTAACAGGTGGTGGGGGTATTGTTGGAGGTGGTGGTATAATTGTTGGAGGTGGTATAATTGGTGGATTAACTGGAGGAGAATGTGCTGCGCTATTTACATTATTTGTATTATTATTATTAATATTTACATTATTATTGTTATTTATATTATTTATGTTATTATTATTATTATTATTATTATTTATATTATCTTCTTTATTAAAGCTAAAAAAAGAAAATGGATTCTCTTTAACTTTTGTCATTTATTACTTTATAAATAATACTATAAATATATATCTGTAGTTAATATTTTAAAAAACTTGTTATACTTTTTTTTTTTTAAAAAAAAAAGAATATAAAAAACAAAAAAATAAAAAATAAAAAAAAATAAAAAAAAAAAAGATTTTTAACTCTTTTTTAAATTTTTTTAAAAATTTTATTTTTGCTTTTTTTTTTTTTTAAATTAAAATGGTTCTTAAATATACATCTATAAAAAATTAAAAAAAAACTAAAAAAAAGATTTATAATAACTATTTTTTATTTTATTTATTTTTAAATGTGATGGCAATAATTGATTAACGACGATAACGATATCTCTTGAAATTGAACCAAAGCTGTAACACACCTTTTTCAAAAACACATTTAAATCCATATTTGTGAGATTTTTCCCATTCTTTCTTAACAATTTTGAAAGCAATATCTTCGTAGGGTGGTCCTGCATGGAATCTTAAAATACATGTATCGGGATTATCTGGTGATGGTGAAACATAAAATTGAGGTGATTTTGATGTATCGATGAGATCTGGATAAAATATGTTAAATTTATAACCTCTAACTACCTTTGGTGGTGGATTGTCCTTGTCATAATGAGTACGATTATATTTAGTCCAATCATATCCTGTATGTACTCTATTAAAGAATTTTGGTTTTCTAGGTCTATATTTGTCGTGCCATGAATAGTATTTTGGTTCCAATGCAACTTCCAAATCAAACTGTTCATCAAATTCATTTTCTTCGTCATATGGATCTTTTGATTTTTCGCTATTATCGGTTGTATTTGATTTAGATGAACCCTCTTCATTATTATTACTATTATTGTTATTATTAGTATTTTTAACCTCTGGATTGTATTCGAATGGTAATTTTGAATCATTTGAAATGTCATTGAGGTATTTTTCTGTTTCGATATCTGATAGTCTTTGTTTGAGATTACTGATGAATTTCTCTTTTAGGAATGCGGATGATTTATAAATCTTTAAATGTTTTAAAAGAGTTTCCCAGTATTCAACATTCATTGCAGAACCAGATTCTAATTTTTGCAAAATATCGGTTTCCAAACTGACTAAATCCTTAAATGATTTTCCTTGAAGAATATTTCTAATGTCATTTGTAAGTGAGTGATGAAGTGCACTGGAATCGGAGTTTGCTGGGTCTTCGCCATTTCTAACGCCCAATTGATAATTTGACAATTCTAAAGCTGCCTCCCAAAACTCCAAGTTATCTTGATCGGTATCCAAATAGGTAAAGTCACGAATACCCTCGATTAGCTCTTCTAGTATTTTTGGATCGTAGATTGATTGAATCATTGAGACTGGTTCACGGTTTTCACGATGATCTGGTAGATGGAGCATATTTAATGTTTTATAAAGGAAATCGATTGGCTTTGGACGATTATCAAACAAACGAGTTTCACAACGTTTGCAAGCTTGTAAAAAGTGAAACTCTTCCTCTTTCTTTTCGAGCTCTTCATTATTGGACATATCCTTCATACGCTGTAAACGTTCTTTTTCCTCCTCCCAAATTTGCTGTTCTTTTTCCCTCTGTTCACGCTTCTTTCTGGCCTTTTCTAACTCCTCCTGAATATCTTCTTTTCTCTTTTTGCCATATTTTGAATCATATTCGTCTGGTCTCATACCTTCTTTTATAAACTTTTCTCTTTTGGCTTTCCACACAAATTTCTCTTGTAAATTAGCATCATTGAACGGATTCATGTCATTTGAATAGCCAGTTAAGTCAATATCATTCTTTCTATTTGCTTCTTTTTTTTGTTTTTTTTCAATTCTTCTTTGTCTTTTTTCTTCTGGTGTTTCATTTGCTTTTCTTAGTTCTTTTTCTCTTTTCTCTTCTTTTTTTCTTTTTCTTCTTTCTCTTCTTTCTCTATCACTTTCATCGCTGCTACTACTTGTATAATCACTTTCTTCACTGTCACTGTAATGTTTTCTATTTCTTTTGTGTGACGATGATGATGATGATGATTTTTTTCTATCTCTTGATTTGCTTCTACTTCTACTTCTATTCCTATCTTTATTTTTTCTTTCTTTTGATACATCTCTGTCTCTATTTTTTCTTTCTCTTGACCTATCTCTATCTCTTGATCTGTCTCTGTCTCTGTCTCTTGATCTATCTCTATCTCTGTCTCTGTCTCTTGATCCATCCCTATCTCTTGATCTATCCCTGACTCTATCTTTGGCTCTATCTTTGGACCTATCTCTCTTTTCTTTTATTGGACTTTTTGATCTATATTTATCGTCATAATCTCTATATTTTCTGTCACTTGATGACATTGTAAAATATTATATTATTTATTAGTTTATTTATTTATTTATTTATATATATATAGATATTATTTATATATTTATATTCATGAAATTAAATTTTGAAATTATAAAAAAAAAAAAAAAAAAAAAATTTTTAAATTTAAATTTTTAATTTTATTTTTGAATTATTTTTTTATTTGGAAATTTTCAACAAACAAAATAAATTTATAATAAATTTTTAGTAATAAAAAAAAAAAAAAAAAAAAAATTAACAAATAAATGAATAAAATAAACAAACAATTAATAAATTAAAATAGATGTTATAAAAAAATAATAATTTAAAAAAATAATGATAAAATAAAAATAAAAATAAAAATAAAACAAAAATTAAAAATAATTAAAAAAAAATTAAATTTTTTTTTTTATAAAAAAACGAATACGATTTTTTTTTTTTTTTTTTTTTTTTTTTTAAAACTATCATTAGTTTGATTCAAAATAAAATAAATTATAAAATGACAGAATCAACCAAAGTTGCTAAAACTGTTGTAAATAAAAAAGAAAGAACAATTGATATTGTAATCGCACATAAATTAAATAGTGGTAGTAGTAACTTTAAACAACAAGCTCTCATTAAACTTAGAACTGCTGTTAAACACGAAAAACTATCAGAAATTCAATTATTAAAAATTTGGAAAGGTTTATTTTTAAGTAAGTAATACATTAATAAATAAATAGGGTTTTTAAAATTAAAACTAATTTTAAATTTTATTTTATTTTTTATAAAAAGGTTTTTATAATACAGATAAATTAGTTGTTCAAGACGAAGTTTCAACTAAAATTGCAGAATTAACAACATTATTTAAAGATTATAATGATTCGTTTTTATTTGTAAAGTGTTTTTTTATAACATTACAAAATCATTGGAATCACATTGACCAATATCGTGTTGATAAATTTTATTTATTATCTCGTAAAATTGTACATTCATCATTCAAATTATTAAAGAAATATTATGTTGCACCAAAGGAAGGAGAAGAACTTCAAAATAAATCAAATGACGAAATCTATAGTGGTTTAGTTAAAGTTTTCAAAGATACAGTACTCAATCCAAAGAACTCTACATTAACCAATGGTATTGTTTTACATTTTGCCGATATCTATTTAGAAGAGTTATTTAAAGTTACACAAGGTGCCATGGATCCATTCTATCTCACTAAAATTCTTTTACCATTTATTAATTTCTTATCAAAGAGTGAAGATGATGTAGCCTGCAGACGTATTAAAGAAAGAGTTTTCACCCGTCTTGTAACCACCTATTCAATCTTTGAAAAGAAAGATGCATTTTATTTACCAAAGGAGGGTATTAGATATTCAGATGATAAACCAGAACTCTTTATTGTTGATTATGGTATGCTTTCAAAATTATTCTTCAAATGTGCTTCATCCAAGTAAGTATAGTAATAATAGTTTTTGGAACCCCAAAATTTAAATGTTAAAAAATATTTACTTTTTTTTATTTATTTTATTTTTAGGACCACATTAGAAGTTAACAGAAAAATGATGTATTCTTTAAAAAACCAAATGAATAGAGCCTATTTAGCATTCAAAGAAATTGAAGAATCAGCAGATAATATTTTAGATGAAAATGGTAATTATATTAATCCAGAAATGGAAGAAGAAATTGAAGGCGAAGAAGAGGAAGAGATTGTCGAAGATGAAGACGATGAAGAAATTGAAGACGGTGAAGAAATTGAAGATGATGAAGAAATTGAAGGAGATGCTGATATTGATGACGAAGAAGATGATGAAGAAATGGAAGGAGATGCCGATATTGATGATGATGATGATGAGTTTAATGAAGATATGTTATATGCCAGCGATGACGATGAAGAAGAAGACGGTGATGATATGTTATATGCTATTGATAGTGAAGAGGAAGAGGAAGTTCCACCACCAAAAAATAATAAAAAAAATAATAACAGCAAACCACAACAAAAATCACAACCACAACAAAAAAAACCACAATCACAACAAAAACCACAACCACAACAAAAAAAACAACCACAAAAGCCACAACAAACTAAAGTTTCATCAAAAAAAGCACCAACAAAAAAATCTAATAAATAAATAAAATAAATATACTTTAAAAAAAAGAAAAAGAAAAAGAAAAATTGATTGTGTTTTACATGTTTATTTCATACTTATTATTGAAATCTAAAAGAAATATTTGTTTTTCGACCAAAAGAATATTTTTTTTATTTTTGGTTACCAGATATTTTATTATTTTTTTTAATAAATTTTTATTATATGGTTGGGGACCCTTTTTATTTTAAAAAAAAATATATTTTTTTATTTTTACTTTTTTTTTTTACGAAACAAACCAAATATCTCATAAAAATTATTTAGATTATTTTCACCATATTGTATAGCATGAATATAAATAAAATAATTTTAATAAATATTTTTTTAGTAGTTTATAATATATTATTTGTAAGCTCACAAAGCCAATTACAAGAACAAAAATGTATTGCAGATTTAGAAAATAAATATAGCTTTGGTTTTGATTTTAAAAATGGTTTATATGATATTTGTTCATATTCTACTAATTATTGTGGTTCAAGTGGTTTCATTGAAAGGTATATTTATATATAATTTTTTATTTTTATTTTTTTTAAAATTAATTTACATTTTTTCAAAAATTATATTAATATCATTATTATTAAATAATAAACATAATTTTAGACTTAATTTAGTAAATCCACAGACAAAAAATGACCCACTATTAGTTTCCGATATTTCGTGCCTTTATTATCTAACTGAGGTGAGTTTGTTTTCATTTCATTTCGAACAAAACTTCTTAATAACCAAGATTTCAACTAAAGTCAATGCTCTCACCCTAAATGGAAACTTTCTAAATCCAATAAATTCAGAGTTACCAGGATATTCTAATTTGTATGTAATATTTTTTTTTTATTGCTGTATATTAATTGTATATTAATTTTTATTCTTATTGTTTTTTTTTATAAAATTTATAAATTTATTTTGTAGAGATTTATATACAACCGATTTCAATTTAACTACATTGGATTTATCTTTTATTAAAAATGTAAACAGATTTTCTCTTTTTTACAGTATTGTGGATTTAAAAGCACCTACAGAACAAAACCAACTTACAGAAATTTTAATAATAACACCAAAACAAATAATAGATTTTTCAAAATTCACCAAACTAAAAGAGGTCGATATCACCTTTGATTATGGCTTTGACCCATCAGATATCTCAAAACTTTCAACTATTAAAGCAACAAAAATTCAACTAATTTCATATCTTGAAACCCAAATACCTTTATCTATTTTTTCATTAGATATACCAATTTCAGAAATGGTTGTGTTTGGAAATATAGAAACACCAACCCAAAAAATAACCCTTGCTCCATCATTTTTAGATACAAAAATCACTATACAGCAAACAAAAAATTTTAATATCGATGGTTTATTCCCCTTTAATGCCAATGAAAACTCAAAAATTGAAATGGTTCGTTCTAATATTAATTCAGTTCAACCATTAAGTCAATTTTCACCTTTGAGAAATGTTGTTGTTAGGGAATCAATAATAAGCCCCCTGTTGGGTACATATCAAGGTGATTTTGATTCTCTCGATTTCTCAAATAACCAATTAAATTCAGAAGTTGGCCCATCATGGTGCTCAACTAATTTAATCGTAACAAATAACCAATTAACAGGGTATGTAATTATTTAATTTTTTTTATTGGAAAAAATTTAAATACTAATAATATTTATAGCTCGATCCCATCTTGTTTTAAATGTTACTTTAATGATACAGACAATACAAATTTACCAATGATGAAACAAAGATTTTCAGGAAATCAGTTTACCAACTTTGATACAAATGAAGAGTGCACAACATTCGCACCAAGACCAACAATTGATGGCTCAACTATTTCAATTACTGGTAATGACATTGGCCTCAACCCAAGTAATTGGTATATCGAGGGTGTACAGTGTAAAAGTGTAATAACTCAACCTGGTAAATTATATATTTGTGGAGATTTAAACAATATATTAGACGGCAGAGATTTCTATTCAATTAGATTCCGACACCCAGGAAATAAAACCATTACATTCCCAATTAAGCAAGCAGCACCCATCATCACCTCTGTGGAATTTGGTAGACCAGTTGTGATAGTAGGCCAATATTTTTCGAGCTACAATGGATATGTAGATCAAGTTATAAAATTAGATGATGCAAACTGTGTTGTTTCAGCAACAGAATTTAACAAAACCTCATGTGTGGCAACCCAAACAAGCTCAGCAGATAAAATTCCACTTGAAATTACCGTGAATAAAACTCTTACAACAAAAATATTGGTTTCAAAAAATAGTTTAAACAATAAGCAATGCCCAAACGGTTGTATAAATGTTCCAAATGGTTTGTGTGATATGTCTACTGGTTATTGTATGTGCCAATCTAATGGAAAATATCAAGATTGTAATACCCATGTTATTTCATCCATTGACCCATCCAATACAAACGGTGGTGAGGCAACATTCTATGGTGATTTTAAAAATGAACACAAGGGTTTAACCATTACTATTGGTGATAAACAATGCTCCCCAATTACACTAACTACATCAACAGTTATTAAATGTGAAGCACCACCAGGTAAAGGCATACAAAATGTAATAATGGTTCAGAATGATTTAACCTTTGTCGGTAGCAAAATGTATAAATATAAAGAAATTGTAGCAAGCTGTCCAAATAATTGCACCAATCAAAATCAAGGAACATGTAATACAGTAACTGGCTTATGTGAATGTATAAATAATTATCAATCATATGACTGTAGTGTAAAACCAAATGAAGGTGGTGAGACAGGAAATAATGGAGAAACCATCATCGACAATGAAACTGGTTCAACCAATCTTACAAATAGCCAAACTAGATTCCAAATCTATTTTGATTTATTAAAAGAGGTAAATGTTTTGGGTGACACAGTTAAAACACATGTATTAAAAGATAAATGGGTATTAAATAACACAGACATCAAAAGCAATATATTCACATTCAAACAACAACTAAATGGAACTAATTGCAGCATCATATCGATTATTGAAGAAATTCAAGAAACAAATGGCAAAGAATTTACATTTGCAAATACAACATTTGGCCTATCAAAAGGTTCAATTAAATTTACTATATCCATTAACAACTATCCATATCAAAGTACATTAAATTCATTGGTATTGGATTTTGTATCAACTGTAGATCAATTAAAATCAGCTGAATGTAATGAAAGGGATACCGAAATAGATACAACCCATTTCAATGATATATCCACATTTAATTATATTAAAATATCTAGAAATAATCAAGCCTTAACAGGTAGATTCATAAACAAATTAATTTCTGATGGTAGACCAACTTTTTATAGTACATCTGTAAATAATGATACCTCAACACCTTCATCCGTCATATTATCTTTAAATTTACCACATTGCGATAGCTGTGTAATAGACCCTGATTTTTCATTGATAGTTTCACCCGATTTTAAAGAATGCAAATCAAGTAGAAAATGGTTTATCCCTGTTGTTGTAACTGTTCCTATAGTGGGTGTTGCTTGTTTAATCGTTATAATTGCATTCCTATATAGAAAAAGCACAACTGTCAAAGTTATAATTAAAGCAGCAAAATTAAAAAAAATAAATAAATAAATAAATAAATAAAAGAATTATTTTTTAAAAAAAAAAATCTAACTTCAATATTATTAATAATGTTTGGTTTTGTAAATTTTATTTATTTTTTAATACATCTGATTTGGCAGCAAATATATAATCTTTAACCAATTTAAATCTGTGTCCAAACACTGTTCAATCAAAATTATGCTTTAATTAAAGTTGTAATATGCTATGCTTTACAAAGTCTATATTTCCAAATCTACCCTGTAATATTTTAAAACTATATTGAAACTATAGCCAAGTTTACAAAATGATTATTAAAACTAATGTATTTATGGATATAATGAATATTAAAATTAAAAAACTAATTTTGTTATTATTACCACCCGATATTTTTTTATTTTTCTGATAAAATTTTTCTTTTATTTAAAAAAAAAAAAAAATTAAAAATTAAAATAAATTAAAAAATAAAAAATAAAAAATTTTCTCAATTTTCCATCAAATGTATTAAAAATAATTTATTTATATTATTTATTAAATAACTTATTCATTAAATGTCAATACTTTACAGAAACTCACCATTTGGTGCAGCAGGTATATTACCCTATACAGTTCATAATGGAAAAATATATGTTTTATTAGGTAAAAATATTTATTTATTTTGTACCTTTTTTTATTAAGCTAATAATAAAAAATATTTTATATACAGGTAATGAAAGACGTGGATTCAGTGATTTTGGTGGATATAAAGACGGACCAACCGAATCAACAGAGTTTTGCGCAGCGAGAGAATTTTCAGAAGAAACATTAGGACTTTTTATAAATGACTCTAAAGATAGAGGATGTATTGCTGGTGTAGAGAAATCCACTTTATTATTCAACAGTATTTTAACAAATAAAGATTTATATAATGTTGGTTTGATAACAAAAATAGAAAACTATTTTAATAGATATGCAATGTATATATGTCCAATTAATAGATATATATTGGATAATGATTTTAGATCTGTATATTTATTAAATAAAGAAAAACCCATTAAAGAGCGTATTGAAAACACAGGTAAATATAAACAATAACTTTATTGAAATTAAAAAAAAAATTACTTATTCTTATTTTTTTAAATATACAGAAAAAAATCATATTTGGTGGTTTGAATTAGAAAAACTTTTAGAACTATCCCTAGACGAGTCTTTAAAAGAAATTAAAAGGGGGCAGCACATATATGCTCTATTTGGCTCATTTTTAAAGACCATTAGAGAGCCCAAATTTATCGAATTCTTCACAGTTTTAAAATCATCATATGATACAAATCTATTAAAGTCAATGATAGATGATGTTTGGAATAAAAACACTTTATTATAATAATTAACAACAAAAAAAATAAAAATAAATAATAATAACTGTAATAAATAAATATTAATCTAAAACAGATATCTGTTAAAAAATAAAATGATCGCACTCAAATACCCGATCCACAATTTTTTTTAGTTTTTACAAAATATTTTAAATTTTCACAAAATAATTTATTTTTAGAAAAAAAAAAAAAAAAATAATAGTTTTTTTAATTTTAATAAATATAATTTAGTTTTTTTTTTTTTATTTTTTTATTTTGATACACATAAAAACATTAATGATTTATAAATTAATATTTTTAAAAAGGGTTTAAGTATACAAATTTAAATATTGAATCGAAACGGTTAAAAAGCTTATTTCTTTGATGGACCGTATCTCTTTTTCTTTTCTTCGAGATCTCTGTTCATCCACCAGAGAGCACCTTCACTTGAGGCACCACCATCAGCACCACCAACACCTGATTGACCACCATATTTCTTTGAGGCGATACGAACAGCAGCTTCAGCAGTAATGAGGGCTTTGTTTAATTCTTCTTTTAATGGGCTTGAATCGATTTGAGCTAACATATTTTTAGCACCAAGACCTTTAACACCTGGTAATTGTGAATCAGCTTCAAGACGAGCTTTTTCTTCTTCGTAGGCACGAATACGTTTGTTGACTTCTTCGAGAGCTAAACGAGCTTTTCTAATTTCTGGATGTTCGTCGTGGTTCATTGAACGGTGACAGAAATCAGCTGGATTGGCAACATCTCTGTATTGGTATAAGAGATATTCAAGGAAAGAGACACGACCATCAAAGTTAACATCGACTTTTTCTCTTAATTCTTGTTTACGTTTGAGAGCAGTTAACATTTCTGGTTGTGATCTGGCATAACCATCTTTGTAGGCTTTGTTTTTGTCGTCTTCGACGAATTTGCAGAGGATTTCATAGAAATAAAGGGCAATATCGAAATCGAGATCGTTACCTTCATCATATTTGTAAACTAATTGAATACCTTTGTTGTGCATATCAGCATATTTGATTTTTTCCCAAGCAACAGTGTAAATGAATTCAGCTTCATTTCTAATTTCAAACCAGTAGGCATTTAAGAAGTGAACAGCTTGTTGTGAGAATGGAAGTTTGGCAACATCACAGAAAAATTTCATGGCTTCATCTGATAATTTTTCGGTGAATGATGAACCAACTTTACGTGAGGCTAAAATATTATTAGTTTAAAAAAAAAAAAAAGAAAATTGGAAAATGAATTAATATTTGAATTTAAAATTTTTAATTTAAAATTTTATATATTTATCATTTAAAATTTAAATAGATATTTAAATGATAATTTAATAATATGTTAAAGTTAAATACATACTATCAATACCAGTAAGAACTTGTTGTTTCTTTTCAACTTCTGACATTTTGTTATATATATATATGTGTATTTAAATAAAAAAAAAAAATAATAATGAAAAAAAAATGAATGAAAAACTTTTTGGATTTTATAAGCAAGATAATTTTCAAAAAAAAAAAATTATTTAAAAAATAAAAAAAAATTAAAAAAAAAAAAAAAAAAAAAACCAACTAATTAGTTGGGTTTGGAATAGCCATTTAAAAATTTTTTTTTTAAAATAATATAATTTTTTTTTTGGTTCAGTTATTATAAATATAACAAAAAAAAAATAATAATATTAATATTAATAATTATTTTATTTAACTCCTTCATTTTAAAATATCCAGTTTTTTTTTTAATTTTTTATTATAATATTCACCCACTAATCCACCCATTTTTTTTTTAGCATATTTTACCGAATGGTAAATTTAAGAAATCTTTAACAATTGTAATATAATATATATGTTTCGAGTCTAAAAAGATTAATAATTTTTTATATCTCAATTATACAAAATATTACAAATAAACAATACAATGGAGTATATATGATCTACAAAATTATTTTTTTTTATTTTTTTTTTTATTTATTTTTTCTTCAAAATTTAATAAAACATATTTTTTAAAAAAATAAATAAATAAAAAAAAAAAAAAAATTTAATTTTGGTTTTTTTTATCCACATTTTATTTTTAAAATTTAAATAATCATTTTAGCAAAAATCACATTTTATTATAAAATTTTAAAATTTTATTCATTGAAAATTTTTTTTTTTTTTAAAATAATAAAAAAAAAAAAAAAAAAAAAAAAAAAAAAAAAAAAAAAAAAAAGGAAAAAAAAGAAAAAAAAGAAAAAAAGAAAAAAAAAAAACCAAGTAAAAAAAAAAAGATTGAATAGATAAATAATATATATTTTTTATTTCTCTTTTATGACAAAGTGTGTGTTAAAAAATTCCAATTAGTTTTTTTTTGGAATGTTTGTCATCATGGAGAACAATTAAGATTCCCAAAAAAGAATCAGTACATCTTTTTTTTTTTTAATTTAAATATTTTAAAATTTTTTTTTTAATTTTTTTAAAATTTTTTGTTTTAAAATTTTTTTTTTTTTTTTTTTAAAACACTCATTTATTATTATCCATTAAATAAATATCATTATATTGTAATAATAAAAATAAATAGTAATAAAATTATTACATAATAATATATATAATGCCAAGACAAGTAATTTTAACCAGACGTGAAGTTTTTTCATCAAGGTTTGTTTTAAAATTTTGGATTCGTTTTGATAACATTGATTTAAAAAATTATTAACATTTTTTTTTATATACATAATAGTCATAGATTATTTTCAGATTCTTTAAGTTTAGAAGAAAATAAAAAAGTTTATGGAAAATGTATAAATAGTCATGGTCACAATTATACATTAGAAGTTTCGGTTAAGGGCGAAGTCAACCCAGATATTGGTATGTTTATGAACATTACAGAGTTAAAAGAAGTCATTAAAACTGAAGTTATGGATAAATTAGATCACAAAAATTTAGAAGAAGATGTTCCAGAACTTAAAGGTATCGTAACCACAACAGAAAATCTTTCAATTTTTATTTGGGATCAATTATATAAACATTTAAAAAATTTTTTATATGAAGTTAGAATTTTAGAAACTGAAAACAATTTTGTAGTTTACAGAGGTGAATAAATTAAAAAAAAAAACAAAAATAAAATTTAAAATAAATTGATTAAGCGTTTTTCCTTTATTTTTTAAAAAAAAAGTTTACCACCTATTTGCAACTTTTTCAGCAAAACCCAATTTATTGTGGAATTCAATTTTGGTACCATCATCTAAAATTGCAACACCTGAGAATAAACCAAACACTTGGTTTGCACTACTTTGGATAATTAAATAGTTTTGATGATCACAACGATTTATTATTGGTTTAAAATCCATTTCCAGTCTTTTATCATTCGATGTAAACTTCCAAGGGGTCATATAATCTTCTTTACCATTTTTAAACTTTGGTATTATAAACTCCACCTCATCTAATTTGTGTGCTATACCATCTAAAAATACCATGTTTTCAGATGCATTTTTTGTATTACCAAATCCATAACCTATATTAAATCCAAATTTCCTTCCATCATCTAAATAACATGATAATGATCCCCAATACCAACTGTATTTTTTTTTAAAAAAAAAAGTAAATTAATATATTTTTTCTTAATTATTTGATTTTTAAAAAAAAGACATACACTTCTGAATAGGGCCAGACACCACGACCCCAATCTAAAACTGCTAAAGAGTCGTTTGGATCAAATAGATGTGTTTCTTGACCAATTTTAATTTCACCAGCAGCAACCATTGTATTGATTTTACAATTATAATAAAATGCATGCTCGTGATATTTAAAAGGAGTTACAATAACCATTGAGTCTCTAGGGAATTCGGTTAGTGTAATGTTACAAATGATTTCATTGTTGTTTCCATCAAAATTGGGACACTTGCAAACCAGAGTTCTAACAGTACCATTATTATCGAATCTTAATGAAATCTTTTTAGAGTTGAATTCAATCGAACCTTCAAGTGGTGTCTTGGGAAAGTTAAATTTACCAAATGGAAATACTGCCAAATCTCCTTTAGTTTTGTATGATGGAGAATCTTGATTAAAATTAAAAAATGTTACACTTGCATTTCCTATATACCCAATATCACCAAATGTTAATGCTAATCCAATTTTACCATTTGTTATAAAATAATAATCCCATTCTTTTATTCTCCATGAACTAGCTTTAATGTCATGTCTATTATATTCTTTCATAAAGTTGGTAGAGTATCCACTTTGAATTACTTCACCTTTTTCATTTAATAAAGGCCCTAAAATTTAATGATTAAAAAAAAATGATTAAAAATCATAAATAAATTTTAATTATGATTAAAAAATTAAAATTTTTTTTTTAAAAACTAAAAATAATAAAAAAAAAAAAAAAAAAAAAAATTACCTTTATCTAATTTAATTTGAAATCTTTTTTCTTCATTATTATTTAAAATATGATCCATATTATTATCATCTCTTTTGTTTTCATTATTTTGATTATTTTCTTTTTTTTCATTATTTTCTATAGTATTTTCAATACTATTTTTTATATTATTATTATCTTCAATTATTTCATTCATTTTTTTTTTAATTATTAAATGGTAAATAATAAATTATTTTTTTATTTTTATATAAAATAAAAAAAAAAAAAAAAAAATAAAATTTAATAAAAATAAAAAAAAATATAAAAAATAAAATAAAATAAATTTTATTCAGATTTTTTCCTTAAAACTATAAAAGAGATCCATTATTTTTTATTTTAAATTGTGGTAATAGAATAATAATGATTGTATTTTATGAAAATTTAACTATTTTTTTTGATAAAATAAATATTATTATATTATGAAAAAAATTTAGAAATAAAAAAAGTTTATTATTTTAAATTATTAATTATAATAAAAATAAAAAAAAAAGAAAAAAAAAAAAAAAGTTTTTTATAAACATAAAGGTTTTATTTTAACACAAAATTAATTATTTTGATGTTTATTTTTTTAAATAATTAATGAAATTAAAATTGAAATTAAAATTAAAAATACAGCAGTGGTTTGATGAATTGAAATTGAGGATGAGGTGAGTTCGTGGTGACCTTCGAAATAATCTAAAAGTGTGAAACATTGATACATTGAAACATTTTGGGCTTGTTGGACAATGGTGGAGCATTGAGCATCACTTGCTGGTGAACCAGTAAAAGTGTATTCTTCAGTAGTTGGATTATAAGTTGTCATTACTTGAATAGATGGTTTGTCCCCACAATGGTCAGCAAATGATTGACAGGAACCAACGCTGAGTGTAATGGTTCTGTGTTCACTTTCACCACATTCAGATTTGCAATATACATCGAATCTAGCCCATTTGGTTGGATCAAAATCTTCGGATTGAACACCAACTATTAACAATGATGATACAAGAGTAATAAATAATAATAATAATATATTTGATTTATTCATTTTTAAAATATTCTATTGGTTCTATTATTTAAAAATAAAAATAAACTGAAATGAAATTAAATAAAAAAAAAAAAAAACTTTTTATATTTCAAAAATGCAGTAAAAAAAAAAAAATTTAAAAAATAAAAAAAAAAATGACATTTTTCAAATAAAATAAATGAATAAAAAAAAGAATTTGAGACTTGGACAACAATAAATATGCGGAGTGTTTAAAAAAAAAAATCAACTTTATTTTATTGATTTTTTTTACAAAATAAAAATAATATCCAATTAAAGGGTGAGGCATTTCAACTTTTTTTTTTTTTTTTTTAGTTATTTTAATGATGACTTTTATTGCCTGAGAAATTAAAAAATTTTAACTTCTTTTTCATTTGTATATTGACCATTAACATATAAATTATTTTTTGATTTAATTGCACATGTCATTTCATCGGATGTGCATTGAATATTGTTACCAGTACAGGTCATTGAACTAGGTCCTACGGTATTGGTCATACATATAATGTTGCTATTTGGATCATTTGATTTACATATTTCCCCATTGGTATTATCGATGCATGTTGCTGGGCCATAGGACTCACAAGTAATGTTTGTATAGCTTATCATATTTAGTCCATTTCCAGTTTTTTTACAAACAATTGGATTATCATTATTGTTGCTACTACTACTGTCAGAATCACCTTCTGGATAGTATAAGGTAACACTATATTGGCATACTGAAGTTTCTGTTACCGTTGATACTTGTAAACTATTGCTTTTTTCAAGGTTTATTATAAACGACCTATATGCACCACTATGACAAGGACTTTTATTGGTACTATACAATAATTGGGTTGGATTGGATTTAAAAACTCCCTGTGACTGCATACCAACACTTGTTGGGTTACCTATACCTTTAACTTGACATGCTACAACATTACTATTGGCTCCTTGGTTGCATTTTGGGGTTTCATTACAGATATTAAAATAATATGTATATTGACCCTGTGAATCTGTAGATGAATATCCAGTGGAGTTTGATAAAAAGCCATAATTTATACCAGAGAAACTGCATTGGGTTGGAGATGATTGGGAGTTTATAATTGTTACTAATGAAACCCAAACTAATAAATATTTAAATAACCTCATTTTTATTTTTTATGATAATAACACAGTTAAAAATAGAAAAAAAAATTTTTTTATAGATTTTAAAAATTTTGATTAATTAAAAAAAAAAATTGAAAAAAAAATCGGAAAAAAAAAAATATAACATAATTTAAAATAAAAAAAAAAAAAAATTAAAAAAAAAAAAGAACCTGTAACAAACTATGGACCTTTTCTTCGAAATAATCTTTATTTGTAACTCTTTAGTTTTATTTAAATATTTGTTTAAAAAAAGTTTTATGGGTTGGTTTTAATTTTTTTATATATGTTGGTGAAAAATAATTGAATAGTAGTTCGAGAATTTCAATTTGATGGTTTTCGATTAGAATTTCGAGTATTTTTTTACCATCTCCAGCAGAAAGAGATTTTCTTAATAAATCTGAATGATTCGAAACCATAAATTTGAAAAATGGATAATGACCCAATCTGGCAACCATATTTATAAAAGAGACACAATAAAGTGTTCCTTTATAATGGTTATAATAATGCTCTAAGTAAATCCTTGGGAAATATATTGATTCTTGGGCTGATAAGTGTTCAATTCTCTTTGAAAAGTTTTCTTTATAAAGAGTAGCATAGACTAGTAATTGTGTATAGTGATTTGTAAAAATTTTAATGGTAATTTCTTTGTTTTTTTTAGAGTTGGTAGAAAATTTTAAGTTTAGCCTAAAGTATCCATCAACATCTTCATCTTCGTATTCATCTTCATCTTCGTATTCGTCTTCATCTTTATCTTCGTCTTCGTCTTCATTTTCATTTTCATTTTCATTTTCATTTTCATTTTCATTTTCATTTTCATTTTCATTTTCATTTTCATTTTCATTTTCATTTTCATTTTCATTTTCATTTTCATCTCCATCTCCATCTCCATCTCCATCTCCATCTTCATCTTCATCTTCATCTTCATCTTCATCTTTATATTCAGCATAATCCTCATCTTCATCAAAGCCCATTTGATCGTTGTTAGTGCATTTCTCTAAAATCCAATATGATAGTTTGTGGGGTTTTACTTTTTTGAAAAGGAAATATTCACTAAATATTTCAGAAAAATTGATTTCTTTAGCTTTTACTTGTTTGAACAGAGAAATGATTGAGTCTTGACGGTTTTCAACATATTCAACAATTGTTTTTGAGAAATTTTCAACTTTAAACAGACTTGAAATATGATATGCGTAAAAAAATTGACAGCTCAATGCTCTTTCAAGGATTTCTAAAATTTGTGGTCCTATAATTTTATCATCCTTGAATTTTGAATGTTCTTGACCTTCACAATGGTATGGATTTTCAACAAGGAATTTTCTATTTAAATCCAGCATTTGCTTTTCATAATGCTCGATTACTGATAGATCTACAAATTGCCAGTTGATATTATGATCTTTAAAAAATTCATTTTGATAGTGTTCAAACAAGAAATCTAATACTCTGGTGGATGTGGTTGAGTTTAAAATTAGTTTTTCAATTGAAAATATTCTTTTTTCTTTGAAAATTTCTTCAATAACTTTTTTGTAGATATTTGATTTTAATAAGTATTTCAAACCACAAAGGTTATTTTCAAATAAATGTATATTCCTGGTTAAAACTTGAACGAATCTTTTTCTGTTTTTTAAAAAAGTGATTTCATACAAATCTTGTGTGTTGTTGACAAAAGCATCTTTATAAAAATGAGCTGCAGGATTTTCTTTGCATTTATATGGCATAATAAGGTCATTTTTTCTTTCATTTTCATTTTCGGAATCAATTTCATCGTCACTTTCTCCATATTCCAAAAAGCCTTTACTTTTGTGTTCTGGTTTATTGTGTCCATTACAGAGCATTGAAAATATTTTTCGGGTTGGTTTAAAAAATATATAATATTGTGGTGGCCTTTTATAATCACCAATTGAATAGAAAAGTTTTATATATTGCTTGATTGTGGCCTTGACTTGGTCACCATTATCACACTTATTATTTAATATTGAAACTAAAATTTCTTTGATTGTTGAATCTAATTGATCATTAGAAAATTGAAATTTTTGAATTTCTTTTAACGCCAAAAGATCTTTCTTTGAATTTGAGCATGCCTCGACCTGGATTCTGCATACCAGGACCAAATGTTTAAGATTGAATGAATCTTTGAAAATATTTAAACCTTCTTTACTTTCCATCTTTGGGGGTTTTGATTTTTTTGGTAAATATTTATTTGCTTTTAAAAAGTGGTACATCTCATAGGTTTGAAAGGAATTTTCATAAAAAACGTAGTGGCCATCTTTTAAAAAACTAAGTACTGCACTTGAAATCTGGGGTGTTTTTAATTTGAATACATCTATAAATATTTTTATTGCAAATACATTCGATTTTTTTATTATTGTTTTTAAAATTCCATCGATATCGGTCATATACTTTGGATAGTTTGAAAACAAATTGATATAAAACATCTTGTTTTCTTCATTTTCTTTAATAATGGTATTAAAAATTAATTGAAAGCCTTCGAGTTCTTTTAATCTAAAGTTTAAATAGCTGCCGATTCTGACTTTGTCTTTAATAATTTCGGGACCGTTTGAATAGCAGTCCAAAATATGTTTTACATCGGCCAGATGTTCGTAGCAATATGATTGACTGAAAACAAAATTTCTAAAAATTTCATTGAAAATTATTTTATTTCTAAATACTCTCCAAAAGAGTAATTCAGTTGAATTGTTCTTGGGTGTATTTAAGTTTTCTTCTGATTCTTCTTTTTGCTTGTTTCTTTTTTCAACTTTTAAATAGTCACCAATACGATTGTAAAGAACTTCTTTTTTTCCAGGTGTTGGTATATTTAAAAATTCTGCAATACATTTTAGTTCGTTGTAATTTATATCATTGAAATTTGATTCTTTATATTTTTTTATTAAAAAGCCATCATTACTATCATTATTATTATTATTACTAATATCACTATTTTTTCTTTTCATATTAAATTTAAAATATTTATATACCAATATTTATATATATTTATTTTAATGTGTTGTTTTATGTGATGTTATATTTTTAATTAAAAAAAAGAAATTTTTTTTTTTTTATAAAAAACTAAAATAAAAAAATTAAAATTTTTAGGGTTTTCTTGTAAGTTTTTCATTTTTATTTCTATTTTTACAAAAATCATTATTTTTTATTTCTGTCATTTTCTAATTGGGTTGCTAAATTTTGAAATAAAGGGTGATGGAATTTTCCTCTGGTTGAATCAAAAAATGATTGTAATCTTATGTTATTCTCTTTTTGGTGTGGTTGTTGTTCGTATTCGTAAGCTTGTAAGATCATTTCAAATTTATCAAAATCCTTGACCAATTTAGCTTCGTTAGTTGAACAATCTTCATACTCTTGCCAAAGATTAAATATTTCAGAACCTACTTCTTTATCTAATGTGCTGGTAATTTGAATCATTGCATTCTTTTCCAACTCGTATTTCTCTTCTTTTGTAATTTTGTCGTGGGGTGTAAAATCGCCGACTAATGATTCACCCAAATCGTGAACCAATGCCATCTTTAAACATTTCATTTTATCAATTAAATTTCCATCTTCTGCAATTAATGTATCTTTATCTAATGACATTGCAAACATTGCCATACGGTACATATGATCTGAAACTGACTCCGGTAAATGAACTCCATTATTCACCCAACCTGTTCTTTTAACGTGTTTTAATTTTCCACATATTTTAAAAAATTCTAAATAGTTTGTCATTTAATTATTATAATATTTGTAGTTTTTAATTAAAAAATATAAATTTTAAAAAAAAAATTTTAAAAAAAAAATGAAAAATTATTAATAAAATTTTAAAAAAAAAAAAAATTTTAGTGGAAAAAAAAATAAAGAAAAAGGTTTTATAAAAAGTTTTAGATTAAGTTTTTTAATAAACACCCAATACCAGATTCTATATCAAAAAAAATTAAAATTTTAAAAAATTAAAATTTTAAAAAATTAAAATATAAAACAAAAATAAAATAAAGAATAAGTTACAAAAATTAATAAAATCTTTTTATTATTAAATTTAAATAATTTTTTTGATCTAATAAGATGGATTTGAATTGAATAGTTTTTTAAAATATTTTAATCGATTTAAAAATCCATTCTGTATGATTACTTTTGACTGGGGGAATCTGTGCTAAACACTAATTTATTACCTTTCCCAGAACTGCAGTTCTCTAACTATTTGAATTTCTATGATTATTAACTATATTACAGTTAGTTGCATAAATTTTGCAACAAGCATTTTGATTTTAGAAATTGTTAAATATCTATGAAGAATTTTTAAATTAAAAAATATTGTTTGTTTTAAATAAAATTATAAGTGTCGGTTATTTAAAATTCTTGTTTGCCATTTTTTTAAATTTTATTTTTTTTTATTTTTTTTATTTTTTTTTTTTATTGTCATTATTTGTTTGATGCAAAATTTTTGATAAATAACTTTGAGTGTATGTATATTTTTAACAAAAATTTATATTTTTATTTTTTCATATATTTACAAACATAGTTTAAAAGATAATTAAATTTTAAATTAAAATGGCCCTTTAATTAGAAAAAAGAGAGTTATTTTTAGAAAATTTTCTCAAAGGAAAAAGTGATCAAGAAATCGCAAATATTTTTTGGTGTAAATAGGTCAACCATTTACCGAATTCGAAAACAATATCAAAAAACAAACTCAATTAATCCAAAACCAATTCCAGGAGTTCCAAGAAAGTATACTTTTGAAACAAAAAAATTTTGCAAAAAATTCACACTGAATGGTCAATCAAATAATGCATTAGTTTACCTAAGCTTGTCCAAAGATCATTGGGTATAAAACTTTCAACTTCAACAATTAGAAGAATTCTAAAGAGACAAAACATTTTTTATAGTTATTTGTAATGCAAGCATTATTTTACAAAAGAAACTGAGATGCAAAGGTATACTTAGGTAAAAAAAATTAAAAATTATACCACAGAAAATTGGAAACAGGTGATTTTAGCAGATGAAACCAAAATTGTAAGATTTTCTTAAAAAAAGAGGCATAAAAGATGGATTCAGGGCAGTATATGAAAGAAGAAAATATTTTAAAAAGAAAAAGACCATCTGTAATTTCAAAATTTTTTTGGGGTTGCATTACTTTGCATGAGTTTGGTTGTGGAGCCTATATTAATGGTAACATGGATGGCGATACCTACATAAATGTAATGGGAGATGAATATATGGAAACATTAAAAGACTATGAAATTGATTTTTTTAAAGTCACTCTTTTTCAAGATAACTGCTCTGTTCATAAGTCAGCTGCTGTTAAAAAATAATATGAAGAAAATAACATTAGAGTACAATTTATTCCACCCTCTTCACCAGATTTAAATATAATATAAAACCTATGGTCAATCTTAAAAAAACGTTTAGTTCAACGTTGCATCGCCAAACCTCATGAACCTTTTGATAAATCAATTTATCTTATTTGGTTTAATATTGAACAATCATTTTTAAAAATTAAATGAATCAATTTCAACCAGAATAAATAAAATAATTCAAAATAGAGGTGAATTCACTAAATATTAATAAATTATAATAACTACAAATTTTTTTATAAAAAAATTTCAAAAAAACCTTTACTCAAAATCTTTATTCTAAAATTTTGCAACATAGAAATAATAATAATAAAAAAAAAAAATATAAAAAAAATAATATATTTTTTTTCTTACAACCTTTAAAATATATTTTATTTAAGTATAGATTAAATGATTTTTATTTATGTTACTCCGAAAATCCAAAATTTAAACCATAAAGTTTTATTATATAAATTGCAAAAATAATATGTGTGTTGCAAAATTTATGCAACTAACTGTAACTTGATTAACATAAATAATTATTATAATTATTATATTTAATCGTAATGAATTTAAATTTTTTTTAACTATATAATATGTTGATTCAATTAAAGGATTGTAGTGGTGGTGAATTGTGAGCTTTATAATGAAAAGACAAACGGGACTCTTTTCTATAATAACTGGATCTGAAATCCACAAGTGGTGATGGTGGTGAAATGATTGTGAACTTTTTAATGAAATTATTTTGAGGTTTTTACGTGATGCATAGTTCTTGATAAAGATTTGATTGTTTCTTTGATCAATATTTATTAACCCAGCTTTAGCTTCCCTCTGCAATTAATTTATGAAAGTATTGTTGTTTTTTTAGTTTAGTTAGAGATAATTGATCATTTGATCATGTTGAAGTAACTTTATTTTTACTTCTCTTATCTTTAGCTCTTAACACAACATTTGACATATAAGCTGCAACTACCTATGTTTTCTCTTAAGAATTGTTCATTTACCATGGTTAGCTACTGATTACTGATCTATTTAAAAATTAAAAATTAAAATAAATAACAACCAATAAAAAAAAAAAAAAAATTAAATACAAATAGTTTATTTATTTATTTTTAATTATATATTCATTTTTTTATTTATTTTTTTATTTATTTATATAAATTTTATATATATTCGCAGTTTTTTTATTCGATTCGTATTCAACCCAACTCGTGATTAAACCGCCAATTCGCGGGTGCGGGTCGGAGCCTTGCCAACCATCACCAAATGCAACCATTCCCAAATGTGAGTGTTGTAAGACTATTTGTTAATATGCCGGGTGGAACTACTTAGTTTAATTTATCACCGAATTTAAGTGTTGTAATACTATTTGGTAATGTGCCGGGTAGAACTACTTGCTTAAAATCATCACCCAATTTGAGAGTTGTGAGACTATTTGGTAATGTGCCAGGTAGAATTACTTGGTTAAAACCATCACCGAATTTGAGTGTTGTGAGACTATTTGGTAATGTATCGGGTGGAACTACTTGGTTAAAACGATGACCGAATGTGAGTGTTGTGAGACTATTTGGTAATGTATCAAGTAGAGTTTCTTGGTTAAAATCATCACCGAATTTGAGTGTTGTGAGACTATTTGGTAACGTGCCTGGTGGAAATAATTGGTTAAAATAATCACCGAATTTGAGTGTTGTGAGACTATTTGGTAATGTGCTTGATTGAACTAATTGGTTAAAATCACGACCGAATTTGAGTGTCGTGAGACTATTTGGTAATATGTCGGGTAGAACTACTTGGTTAAATTTATCACCGAATTTGATTGTTGTGAGATTATTTGGTAATGTGCCAGGTAGAACTACTTGGTTAAAATGATAACCAAATTTGAGTGTTGTGAGACTATTTGGTAATGTGCCTGGTGGAACTACTTGGTTAAAAAAACGACCGAATGTGAGTGTTGTGAGACTATTTGATAATGTGCCGGGTTGAATTACTTGGTCAAAATTATTATCGAATTTGAGTTTTGTAAGACTATTTGGTAATGTGCCGGGTTGAAATACTTGGTTAAAATAATTACCGAATGTAAGTGTTGTGAGACTATTTGGTAATGTGCCAGGTAGAACTACTTGGTTAAAACCATCACCGAATTTGAGTGTTGTAAGACTATTTGGTAATGTGTCGGGTTGAATTGCTTGGTTAAAATCATCACCGAATGTGAGTTTTGTGAGACTATTTGATAATGTATCGGGTAGAATTACTTGATTAAAATAATAACTGAATGTGAGTGTTGTGAGACTGTTCGGTAGTGTGCCGGGTAGAACTTCTTGGTTAAAATATGAGGTGAATTTGAGTGTTGTAAGACTATTTGGTAATGTGTCGGGTGGAACTACTTGGTTAAAACGATGACCGAATGTGAGTGTTGTGAGACTATTTGGTAATGTGCCGGGTGGAACTACTTGGTCAAAATCATTACCGAATGTGAGTGATATGAGACTATTTGGTAATGTGCCGGGTGGAACTGCTAGGTTAAAATCATCACCGAATGTGAGTGATATGAGACTATTTGGTAATGTGCCGGGTTGAACTACTTGGTTAAAATCATCACCGAATGTGAGTGTTTTGAGACTATTTGGTAATGTGCCGGGTTGAACTACTTGGTTAAAATCATCACCGAATGTGAGTGTTGTAAGACTATTTGGTAATGTGCCGGGTTGAACTACTTGGTTAAAAAAACGACCGAATGTGAGTGTTGTGAGACTATTTGGTAATGTGCCGGGTTGAATTACTTGGTTATAATCATCACCGAATGTGAGTGTTGTGAGACTATTTGGTAATATGTTGTGTAGAATTACTTGGTTAAAATAATAACCGAATGTGAGTGTTGTGAGACTATTTGGTAATGTGCCGGGTTGAACTACTTGGTTATAATCATCACCGAATGTGAGTGTTGTGAGACTATTTGGTAATGTGCTGGGTAGAACTACTTGGTTATAATCATCACCGAATGTGAGTGTTGTGAGACTATTTGGTAATATGTTGTGTAGAATTACTTGGTTAAAATAATAACCGAATGTGAGTGTTGTGAGACTATTTGGTAATGTGCCGGGTGTAGCTACTTGGTTAAAATCATCCCCGAATGTGAGTGTTGTGAGACTATTTGGTAATGTGCCGGGTGTAGCTACTTGGTTAAAATAATCACCGAATGTGAGTGTTGTGAGACTATTTGGTAATGTGCCGTGTGGAAATAATTGATTAAAACCATCTCCGAATGTGAGTTTTGTGAGATTATTTGGTAATGAGTCGGGTAGAACTACTTGGTTAAATTCATAACCGAATTTGAGTGTTGTGAGACTATTTGGCAATGAGCCAGGTTGAACTACTTGGTTAAAATCATTACCGAATGTGAGTGAAGTTATTGTATTTGGTAAAGTTGGAGGTAACATTTTAGAAAAACTGTACAAATATAAATTTGTTAAAAATGGTGGAAATTCATTTTTATCTGGTAATGGATCACCACTCCACTTAAGTGTTGTTATATATGATTTATTTTTAAACTGGTCATAACGGGATTTATCAAGATCTACATCACTATGTTCAATAAACTTTAAAATATGCTTATGAATTTCATTTCTTAAAAATATATTATTCCAAACTATATATAATAATCTATAATATATAGTTAAAAAGTGAAAAAACCAATTAATATGCTTGTTTTGTATTGTATTGTATTGTATTGTATTGTATTGTATTGTATTGTATTGTATTGTACTTACCTATCACTAATATTGCTGCTGTTTTTTAGCTCTTCATTTACGCGAAATTTAATTAGAGATGATAGTGGCACATCCATTATTAATATAAAAAAAATATAAAAAAATAAAAAAAAAATATTTAAAATATTATGTGGTTGGATCGAAACATGCCAAAAAAATTTAAAAATTTTTGACAAAATTTTTTTGAAATATAAATAAAAAAATTAACATTTCCCATATAAAAATTTCAAAAAAAAAAAAAAAAAATTTTAAAATGGCATTTTTTGAAACAACCGCATAATATTTGAAATTTAAAAAAAAATTTTCCCAAAAAAAAAAAAAATAAAATTTCGAAGCTTATAAAAAAACTCAAAAAAATATGTAAATTTATAGCACTCTTGAACTACAATTTGAATTACTTGGTGTGTATATTCCTTTTTGAAAAATATTTGTGATCCTGGTGATGATTATTGTGGAGGAGTTTTTGATATCTCTAATTTTATAATTTTCTTCTTGAAATGTAATCACTGCTTATTATATATCATTTTAGATAATAATTCAAGATAAGAACCAATTTATAAATCATTTAACATTAATCAACTAGTTCAAATACTTTTTATAATTTAAATCAAATAAATAAAATTATAAAAATATTTAAAATTAAAAATTTTAAAAAATAAAAATTAAATAATTTTTTGGTTTAGTTCGAAATTAGACATTATTCATAACTTAAATAATTATCGTTTTATTACTTTAATAAATATTATTTACTTTAAATAACTAATAGATTTGTACCTACATTACATTCTGATAATGAATCATTTTGTTGTTTTAATTGATTTTGATTTATTAATGGAATGAATGGTTCGTCCTGTAATAATTTAATGATTTGTTGATGTGTTAATTTCATAAAAAATATAATATAGGAAAAAAAATGATATAAAAAATTTATAAAAAATTTTTAAAAAAATAAGACTAGTTTAAAATAGAATTTGTTACATCCATATACTTTTTTTTTACTAAAATAACTGCACACTTTATATATAAGTAGATATATTTAATTATAAAAGATTTTAATTTTATTTTTTCCCTAAATATCATCATCCTTCCACTTGGTGTTTTACAATCATTTAGAGTTCAAAAATTATCGTTTTCTTAATTTTTACCAATTATCGGAAGCGTGTTCATTATCTCATTTTTTAAAAAAAAATTATTATTCATTTTTATCCATTTTTAAAATTTGCCAATAGATTTAAAACAACAGCTCAAATACGCACATTAAAACTTGTTTTATTCCTTTTTTTATTATTTTTTTTCTATTTTTTAACCATTTTATTGATATTATAATTTGTTTCTTTTATTCCCTTTTTTTACCGAACAGAATTCGGTGGTGCGTTGGCTTCTTGAACGATTTCTTGAATTTGCCCATTATTGCCATTTCTTCCTTTTCAGTATTATGATGTAAAATTGTTTCATTTTGATATCTGGTTCATTGATATGTTGATGTAAATTTTGTTCTTCTTGATCATTTTGATTTACTTGATTTTCATATTTTGATTAATTCCTGGTCTATATATAACTTTTTGAATAACTATAGATGATACTGGTGATGGTGTTGGAGGAGTGTATTAGGAGTGGTGGCCAGAGTAATCTTTTTTTTTTTAGTTAAAAAAATAATTATAATTCCTAATTACTTATTATTATTTTTTATTTATTTATAATACTTTTTTATTTTTTTTGTACCGTATGTGAGTGTTGTGAGATTTGGTAATGTGCCGGGTGGAACTGTTCGGTTAAAATAATTACCGAATGTGAGTGTTGTGAGGTTATTTGGTAATGAGCCGGGTGGAAATACTTGACTAAAACTAAAACCGAATGTGAGTGTTGTGAGACTATTTGGTAATGTGCCGGGCTTAAATACTTGGTTAAAATAATAACCGAATGTGAGCGTAGTAAGACTATTTGGTAATAGGCCAGGTGGAACTACTTGGTTAAAACAAGAACCGAATATGATTGTTGTAAGACTATTTGGCAATGAGCCTGGTAGAACTAATTGGTTAAAACCATCACCGAATGTGAGTGTTGTGAGACTATTTGGTAATGAGCCAGGTGGAACTACTTGGTCAAAATCATCACTGAATGTGAGTGTTGTGAGACTATTTGGTAAAGTGCCGGGTGGAATTACTTGGTTAAAATAATCACCGAATGTGAGTGTTGTGAGATTATTTGGTAATGTGCCAGGTAGAATTACTTGGTTAAAAAAACGACCGAATGTGAGTGTTGTGAGACTATTTGGTAATGTGCCGGGTGTAACTACTTGGTCAAAACTACGACCGAATGTGAGTGTTGTGAGACTATTTGGCAATGTGCCAGGTGGAACTACTTGGTTAAAATCGCCATCAAATATGAGAGTAGTAATTGTATTTGGTAAAGTTGTTAAAGTTAAAACTTTTTTGAAAACACAAAAATATAAATCTGTCAAAAATGGTGGAAATTCATTTTTATCTGGAAGTGTATCACCACTCCAGTTAAGTGTTGTTATATATGATTTATCCTTAAACTTGCTATAACCTGATATATCAAGATCTTCAACACTATGTTTAATAAACTTTAAAATATGTTTATGAATTTCATTTCTTAAAAATATATTATTCCAAACTAAATATAATAATCTATTATAATAAATAGTCAAAAAACAGAAAACACCAATTAATATGCTTTTAATTGATCGATCGATTATTTATATTTACTGTATTGTGTTCTATTGTAACTTACCTATCACTAATATTACTACTGTTTTTTAACTCTTCATTTACGCGAAATTTAATTAGAGATGATAGTAACCCATCCATTTTTAATATAAAAAAATAAAATTAAAAAAAAATAAAATTTTTTTTTTTTTTAAAAATTAATAATAGAAATTAAAAAATAGCAAAAACATGCACATCAATTTTTTTCTTTTCTCCATTTTTTTTAATATTTAAAAATTATTTTTTATTTTTTTTTAATAATTTTATTTTTTTTTTTAAATAAATAATTAAAATTTTTCGTGAATAATATTATTAAATCAAAATATAATCATAAATAAAAAATATAATTTAAATAAATATTATGACAGTTATGCGCAATATTCAAATTTAAAAATAAATTTAACAAAAAATATTTTAATTATATATTAATAATATTAAAGATTTATTAATTTAAAACATTTAAAAATATAATTAAAATATTATGGCAGTTATTTGATAAAGCACAATATTTAAAAATAGTTATAACTCCCCATTTTAAAAAACATACATAATTATCCAATTATCCCATTTTTCTACCTCTTTAATAATAAAAAAAAAAATAAAAAAGCCAACTTTAAAATTATCAAAAAATAAAAATGAAATTAAAAAAGCCTGCCACCTCCAAAACTCTTGGGATCTAATATCAATGTTCTACAATTACTTCAATCTTTCCCCAATCCATATTACTTTGTAATTCTACAATTACTTTTCTTTTATATTACAGTCTTTTTTGTTGAACCGTTCACTTTGGAAATCATTCAAGCTATGCTCAAATTGTATTCCCTATTCCTCTTTGATCCTAGTTCTGCTACAGTCAACGATATTAATAATATTTATGGTCACCTATTACCCATCTTATCTCTTATTCATCTCGTAAACTACATTACCACCTTTACATCTTAATATGTAAATGGCAATCACCTTTTCAAATTACTAATCAATAATCAATCAAGATAATAGCAATTCAAATTATCATAGTCTAATTAATAATATCAATTTATTCTAGTTAATATTATAATGACCAATTATAATAATTAAATTAATGTTTAACAATTTAAAAGTATAAATTATTATCAATTATAAGTTCATTTTTATATTTTATAGAGATAATAAAATTCTCTATTTATAGTTAATACAATTAATAATCTATCTATAAACAATACATATTTATTAAATAAAAGATTTTAATTTATTAGATTAACTTTTATTATTTGTCTTACTTATTGATTTACTTTTCTTTAAATTTTTTTTATATATATATGTCCTTGGTTTTTTTTTTAAATCTTACTTATAAAATTTATATTGTATTATTATTTAAACTCTGTTTGAAGATCTAGTTTCGAATCATTTTCTGAGGTACTAAATTTGACCAATGGTCAACCCCTTTTATGCTGTTCGTCATGGTGTGTAATGTATTCATATGCATTTTAGAGTTTAATGAATTTTACAGTTATAATTATTATTTTTATATTTTCCTTTATTTAGATTTTAGTGTATTGATCAGAAGAAATACCTGTATCTTTGGGTTAAACAGAATCTTTAAAAAATAGAAATAGTTGCAATACTGATGTTATGGTTTGTGATAACTGTAATGTTTTTTAAAATAAGGAACAGGCTTATTAGTTCTTGTAGATGAAATAAATTATAAATCTGTCTAAATTTTATTAGAGTGCGATCTTTTAACATTTAATTACATTAATCCATATATAGCTTAATTATTCAAGTATTATAGTAAAGAACATCACATAGTTAAATAAAGAGTATCTTGGGTCTATATGAATTGGGTAATTATTGGGGTATCCATAGAACAGTAATTACAGCAAAGAAGAGTTAGGAAGTTTAAAAATTAAATAAAATAAATAGAATCTTAAGAATAGTAACAAATTTAAATAAGTATAGTTTATTTTTTAATTAACTTTTAAATTATAAAATATTATTATCTTTCAATTATATTATTTTATTAGTAAGTTTATTTATGGTGTGTATGTGCGTGTGCATTTTCATGTTAATATGCACTGTATGAGTATGAGTATGAGTATGAGTATCACATACACGAACGCTCATATGTTTTTTGTTTTAAATGTATCCATTATCATTATGATTCAATTTGAATATTCTGATTATGGTCAAATGATTTAATTAAATCATTTATTTATTTAATTTTAAAGGTTAAATTTTAATATTTTTATAGTTTTATTAATTTTATTATTATTTTTTTTGAAGCCAAGAGGTATGATGGAGTGCTTTGGTTTACAAAGTTGTTCGGAGGGATTGAATGACTTGAGTTCTTGATCCATACTACATTTCATTGCAATTATATTTTTTGTGTTATTAAATTCATTTGTGATATATTTCATCAAAACATTTTTTGCCAAATATCCTATAATTGGTTATTTAATAATATTTAGTATTATTTCATTCGGTATGTATTAGAAATTTATATAAATAAGTTAA